TTTCAAAAAATTTGAACAAACCACTTTTTTCTTTGGTTATATAGCAATTTGACAAACACTAATTTTGATCATTGAGAAGCTTAATATTTCCTTAACAATACAACGTAATTAAAACGTTTAGCTGATTTTTACAGAGTTATCTCCCTGTAGTGTTAGGTACCACCTTAAGAGCATTGAAAACAAAAACAAAAATAACAAAAAATGTGCCAATCTGCCTTAGATCATCTATGCCTATGAGGAAAATAACTTTAGGGTGTCGTATTATTATTACATTTTACTCACAATATTTAAACAAAAATTACCGTATTAGTGTTATTCCATGCAAGCACATGAGTGCGGACTACCAAACCCTCAGTGACGAAACGTCCACCGCCCAGTTGTTGTAAAAACTCATTTAAGATACCAGGATTTTACATAAATAAAATATGTATACATGTAGAACATATTGGCAAGTTATTTTGATAACAAATTTTATGCAAACGACGAAAACCATTAATTTGTTTATTTTCCTAACCCTTTGGGGAATCCCTGTATTGCGATCTTTTGGCTGGATGACCATTGGTCAATTTTCTACATAATGTATCTTATTACACATTCTTGTTTTGTAAACAAGATTTTTATTTTGGGATTTTATAAATTTTCCCACCCTCCATCATTTTATTCTGATGTTTGTTAGATGTTTATATATACTTTGTGTCCATTACAAATGTATTTTTGTAGTTATGTCCATTTTTGAATGCTTATGTTGCATGTGTTACACTTTGCATTTATATATCTTTATATGGCTTAGTTGACCCTTTCCTAGGCCAAGCTATTGTATTATTGTATTCTGTATTATTTTATTACCGCTTTATGTTTTGCATTCATTATTATCTTGTTGGACAAATGTATATATGTACCTCGTGTATTGTGTTAGATTTCCTTGTTTAAGTCCTACGAGAAGGTAACACTTCCCGAAACGAAAACTTATTATTATCAGCTATAGTTAGAGGAGGGGATAAGGCGTCTGCGCAATACTAGGCGGTGTTGTCGTAGAAGTATGAAGTGAAAAGTACAGGTTCCAGCCCCGGTCGGGGAGGAAGTAAAGAATCAGATCTACTCCAACATTTTCAGGTTGATTTTCTAGGCACTTTATATATGAAGAGACATTAATTGTTAAAATCCGGATATGGTGTACTAATTTTTGCACCTTTTGTTTGCGGTATACCACCTTTTCCGCAAGTTTATTGTTTTCTGTTTGGTATTAAATTAATAGTTAAGATCCATTTTGTTACATCTGGTGATCCGTTTATTTGGCAATCGCCGATGGCAGTCAGCAAGGTTTTAAGAACATCCGTTGTTCGACCTGCTGGTCAAATGCGTATTGTGAAAATATACTTATTTCACTTTTTTGGTCTTTGGAAAATGTTGTTTGTGCTATATTTAGACCCCTCTACTAAGAAATTTGTTTTGCATGCACACGTATAAAAATTGCGGTTTTTATCCAACGCAATCATAGGTTTGAACGTTGTTTTCAATTTAGACTTGTTTATATTTATTCGTTTGGGCTTGTATTATATTTTCCTTCGGGTTTATATGATCCATTCATCCTATTTCTACTCTTCAAAATTCAAGAGTCTATCCTAAATTGAGGTAAATTATATGGCCTTCCAAATACCGTTTCGATTCCTAACATCACTGAAGAGACAATAATTGTCGAAATCCGGATATGGTGTACAAATTTTTGCACCTCATGTTTGCGGTATACCATCTTTTCCGCAAGTTTATTGTTTTCTGTTTGATATTAAATTAATAATTAAGATCCATTTTGTTACATCTTGTGATACGTTTATTTGGCAATCGCCATGACAGTCAGCAGGGTTTAAGAACATCAGTTGTTCGACCTGTTAGTCAAATGCGTTTTGTTAAAATATACTTTTTCGCTTTTTGGTCATTTGGAAAATGTTTTTTGTGCTGTATTTAGACCCCTGTACCAAGAAATTTATTTGGCATGCACACGTATAAAAATTGCGGTTTTTATCCAACGCAATCATAAGTTTGAACGTTGTTTTCAATTTAGACTTGTTTATATATATATATATAAGTACGTCTGAACCAGTGACCATCGGATCACCAGTGATACAAGGCTGAAAACACATTCTGTATACATAATTCGTCTGTATAACAGCCCAACAATGTTAGATCTGTAAATTTGCGGAAGCAAATTTTTTGTTCTTCCCTGGCCGGGATATATATATATATATATATATATATATATATCAATCCACTTTCTTGTTTCTCTTTCATTAATGTATTGCCCCAATGGCTCAATAGAATATTAAATACGTGAGCTACTTGTTGATTCATTCAAGTGAAATTCAGTGTTAAACCTCTGATTATTTGGTTGGGTTGAAGGCGGAAAGCATAAATACTCATATTATCTATTGCCTTTCATTCTTGACTGACAAAATGTACATAGTACACACATATAGCGAAACAAAATGATGAAAATAAACAAAATTTACAAATTTCCAGCAAGAAATAAACCAACAAAAAAAACCACATTGCTTACTTGCTTAATGAATACGTGCAAATAAATACATATATTTAACCTGTCATTAATTCTTTGAAAGTATGTACACCAGGAAAGGTGTTTAATAACCATGGCATGTTGAATTCATTTGGAAATCAAAGGTGTTAAATTAGTTAAAATGCCGATCTTTCGTTGGTTTTGAATTTGTCAACAAATCATACGACTGAAATGATAATTGAATAAAGACGGCTTTCTGCAAAATACAAAATATGAGTACTGCACAATTTGTCAAAATGTCTGAACAATCCAACTAAATCCAGATACAACTTCATACAAATTTAAGATCAAAGATAAACATGTGTATGAAAGCAACCAACGATCATAGCAGTATTAGCTCCGCTCATGTAAAAATCAACTCTATATTTGCATACTGTTCGTGTGCTTCGTGTAAACGGTTGTATAAAAAAATTCACAATTTTTTAGTAATTTGAAAAAGTGATTGACACTATTATCACACTCGTAACTGCTTATAGTTATGACTATCCATTGACACCATTGTGGCCACCAATTGGATGGGTCAGATCGGGTAAACGTTTGTCAAAGGTTTCTCAAGGCATATAAAACAATAAATCGAAAAAAATAGTAAATAATATAGTAAATTTATTTTATTATAGTGGTACATATTGATTGAAATAATAAAATGCACAACATACATTATCACTGCCAAGGTTAAAACAATAAATCAATACTTGGTCATAAAATTGACTTGTGGTAGACTCGAAAAAGAAAAATACTACAGGAGTAAACTTTGTTTTTGATTATCATTGAATTCACGAACTTTCTTTACTGATCTGGGACAATTATACTTAAATATATCATGTCCCAGTTTTGATATACAAAATATATATGTTTGCGTAAAATCTTTGTCATCGAAGGCCGTCAGTTTTCTCGTTTGAATTGTTTTACATTTGTCATTTCGGTGCCTTTTATAGCTGACTATATATAGCTATGCAGTATGGGTTTTGCTCATTGTTGAATGCCGTACGGTTTCCTATAGTTGCTAATTTCTATGTCATTTGGTCTATTGTGGAGAGTTGTCTCAGTTGCAATCATACCACATCTTCTTATTTTTATAATTAAAGATACCAGTAAATGGTTCGGTATTATCAACACAATTTTATCGATGCTGTTTTCCCTCTCTTTTCATTTGTCATTAAATGATTTTTTTGGGCGGCACATTGATTTCAAAAACAGCAAATATGAAATATAAATTAACAAATAGTAAAACAAGTAAAAACAAATTATCAGAAAACATACATATCCGTTGTCTTCTGTGATATATATGTATATTCAGTGACGGGCAATACATTCTCAGGATCCATAACCAGAATATGTGCTGCCGAAATATTTAAAAAGAAAGTTCTCTACACGAAAATTTCTTTTTTTGTTGTTGTAAAATTAAATGTTCAACAGCTCTCGATATTTCTAAGTGTAGGTCAAGGTAAAAAGCAGACTCATCTTTATCTGTGATATCCTTGATTTCAAGTTTAAAGGCAAGCAAAGTCACCAAACTCTGAATTGTTACAAAAAACGTAATTTGTATAAAAGAATGTGAAATTAAATTATTCATTAACTTCATTCGTCGGAAAGAGTCCTTGCGAAAATTCTACACGGAGAGAGATATTTTGATCGTATGTATTCTATCACAAGTTATCATGGTATCAAGCACAGTGAAAAATGTGAAAGGAACATAAAACAGACCTAGGAATGTCCCAATCGTTTCATTTTAGAGAGTGTTTTGGTGATATAAGTTCGATTACCAAACGAATTTTTAAGTTTTGATTCATTTAAAAAGCAGTCTATATAATGTAATCAACAGGCAAAAAAAATGATATTACTTGTAGGATCACCTGTATCGACTTAGCTTGCTGTTCGGTGTGAGCCAAGGCTCCGTGTTGAGGGCCGTAGTTTGACCTATAATTGTTAACTTTTTATACATTGTGACTTGGTTGGAGAGTTGTCTGATTGGCACTCATACCACATCTTCTTATTTATATTAATTGTCTCAGGGGAAAGACTGGAGGAAAGGAGGAGCATTTTAGAAAAATTAGTTCCCGATGGTATTATCCCTTTATATATTGACTATCATTATTTGGCACTAACATGGTTATGCAGAAAGAAAATTAACAAATTACATGCAAATTATTCGTTTAGACTTTAGAATGACGATTACTTTTTAGTGTTTATGTCACTTTATAGTCTTAGTAGTTGCCGTCAAACATGATAAATGTGTAAAATAAATTCAGTACATATTAGTTCATACACACTTAATAAATATTTCGAGTATGTGTATGGATTAACTATCACGAAATGTAATATACCCTGTTTGAATAAGATTAAAGTAAGACAAACATACAAAGCTATAAGGTCCAATAAGATAATTTTTATCTGTACGATATTACTATTAATCACTAATTTATCGAATTAAAACTTTTAGTCAGAGAAATATCTTTTTTCAAAGTCAAGTAATTGAATTAGCAAAAACAAAACCCAACCCGAAAACATGTCGGCTTATAAAATAAGTTACTTCAACTTGATGGGACGAGCGGAGCTGTCTCGTATTATGCTGTCTGCAGCCGATAAAGAATTTGAAGACGACAGGTTTGAAAAAGAGGAATGGCCTGAGCGAAAACCAAGTAAGTACCACAGTATTGAGTGGCAAAATACCACACTTCCTTTTAGAGGGAAATTATAGTATCAAAATGGAATATTTTATAATTGCAAAACCAACATCAACACTACAACCCAATCCTTTCTACAATAACTGTTTGTATTTAAAAATGTCAAAGTGCGACCTTTTGTTGTGCACTTTCTATTTTCTAGATACTTGTGAACAAGCTTTATTGAGTTCACTCCATAATATAGTTAATGTTATGTTGAAGCATCCAACAACAAACGTTTGGACACAGTATCGTAAAAAGGTGACGCTACGCTTTACGCTAAACTACGTTTGGTTCCCGTGAACACAACAGGAATGGTATGATTATTGAAAAACAAAAAGCTACGTGGATCAGTGTATTCTTGTGTTCAATCGTTTACAGATTTGCGTGTGTGGGACCGTTTATCATTATCTGCTTAAAAACTTTCATAATGACATATAGAAATAAGAAGATGAGGCATGATTGTCAATGAGACAACTCTCAACCGGAGAACAAACGACGTAAAAGTTTATCAACTATAGGTCACCGTACGACCAAATCCATACCAAATGATAAGCTACAAAAGACCCCGAAATGGCAAATAAAAAACAAATTAAACGAGAAAACTAACAGCCTTATTTATGAACAAAACAATTAACGAAAAAGAATTATGATATATAGCAACAAGCGACAACCACTGAATAACAGGCTCCAGACTTGGGACATGTACATACATATTGTGACGGGGTTAAACACGTTTGCTGGCACCAAACCCTCCCCTAACCTGGGAAAGTGGTGTAACAGTACAACATCAGAACATACTATAGAAACATAAGTTGAAAAGAGTTTAACTCATCCGATCGATACAACGCACAACAATAAAATAAAAAAACACAAAAGACACAGAATACAGATCTAAGAGTACTCGAAGTGATTGGAAGCTGGTTTAAAGCCAATAACAACTAATTAAAAAATCATGTATGTAAGACTTAAATATAAATAGGACACATCAAACATCCAATGGATTAAGTGTAAAGACGTCATTAACAGTCAGAGAAAAACATGACATTGTGCAATGCCAAAATATTCGTATCGACAGACATGCATTGCATTTTTGTCAAGTAAAATAGTTTCAGTCTTCCGTGAGATACAAGAGAGAACACCACATACCACCCGATTAAAGCATCATCTCCCCTCATCTTGTGACTCCTGCTTCTTCGTAAAAAAAAACTGAAAGCAAGCGCTACCGTCGATTGAATCGGAGAGCAATGGTTCTGAAAATATACACCGCGATGAAGCATTGTTTTTTTTTATATAAATTATACTTTTTCGATGTATAACACAGATGTTAAATCTCAATCGTGTGTATAAGACGCTCTTCATACAAAATGTGCTTTGGTCAACGCTTTTACACTCAAATAAAATTACAATAAGAAGCATTTAATTCTTGAATAAACAGTATATCAGAATTTCAAAAGAGAGGAGAAAGATACCAAAGGGACATTTAAACTCATAAGTCGAAAATAAACTGACAACGTCATTGTAAAAAAAGAGAAAAAGACAAGAAGAAAAACAACAATATACAAAACACAGCATATAAAACTAAAGACTGAGCAACACGAACCGCACCAGAAACCGGATGTGATCTCAGGTGCTCCGCAAAGGTAAACAGATCCTGCTCCACATGTGGCACCCGTCGTGTTGCTCATGTAAGTACAATCCCGGTTGTCAGTCTTATTCGGTAGGTCACATCGCGGAAAAGGAGGACGGGATTGAGGTTACCACGATTGGAACATATCAGTTGTCATTTTTGAAAATGATATTCGTATAACGGTCAACCAACTCGTGATGGCGTCCGTAAAAATTTCAAAAGGATGATTTTAACTTTACCACTTGGAACTCTTAGTTTAAAAGCTTCCTTGTGAGCAGCAACCCTCTAACAAGTAAATCATGATAGGAAACGCAACCCCAGGAATATCGTATCAACTGGGAGATATATACTCCATATGCAGGCGCTAGCGCTGCTGGAATGTTGCTACATAGAAATGGAAGATTCACAATTGGGAAACTGAAATCTCTCAAGACGTAGCTTTCGTTTTGCTATAGATCAATTTCATTTCTTCTTAATAGCATTGCTATCGTATTGTTGAATAACACAACAGGTCATATCAGCAAAATAAAATTAATTCTGTAACAATAATAAAATAAGAGTTCTTGGCATTGAATCAACTTTTGTTAAAACTCGTTTGACCTTTAAAGCGAGCCATAAATTTGAAATATGACCACATAACGTGAAAAGGAAATAGAAAAAAAAAATTGAGGTAGACTAAGCGATGACATTTTTATTTGTTTGTATCAGTAAACACATATTTCATTGTTTAATCTCTCTACCATTTTGGTGGATTTAAAAGAAGATGTATACCGTAATTAATTATGAAACTCCTGGACTTTTGCAGAGACACCTTGTGGACAGGTTCCTGTACTTACACACGGAGACAAACAGATACCTCAGTCTATGGCAATAGCAAGATATTTAGCTAGAGATCTCGGTAATTTTTCTATAAAACCTACAAATATTCAAATCTATGAAATGCCTTTATACCTTTAAATACCATAGAATAAGTTGTAACTGTACAACATCAGGTTATTTAGTTCTAGTTGTCTTTTCTTTCTTCCAGACAATTGGTTATTTTGAATTGATACAGTATTTGTAGAGTCCACTTATTTTAGTTAATAGATATAGGAAGATGTGGTATGAGTGCCAATGAGACAACTCTCCATCCAAGTAACAATTTATAAAAGTAAACCATTACAGGTCAAGGTACGGCCTTCAACACGGAGCATTGGCTCACACCGAACAGCAAGCTATAAAGGGCCCCAAAAATGACTAGTGTAAAACCATTCAAACGGGAAAACCAACGGTCTAATCTATATAAAAACGAGAAACGAGAAACACGTATGAACTACATAAACAGACGACAACTACTGTATGTTAATAACTTAACAATTATCATATCACATTACTATGGAGATACCAGTTCGTATAGATGTGGCGATAATGAGCCAGTTTTTAAAAAAATCTCCCGAAGAAGCAAGATTTTGTTTTCGAAAATTTGAACAAGCTCCAAGCGATACTGAATTGTATTTCATGTTCTAGATTTATATGGAAAAGATAATATGGAGAATACTATGTGTGATGTTGTATTAGAATGTATTAATGACGTGATCACAGAAACCGTAAAATTATTCTTTGAACAGGATGAAACTAAAAAGGTAAGCTTAAATAAGCGACCAACCTGACAACTGTGGAGATCCTTCTTATTGAGTTTTTTTATGCTAATTTATTTTCAATGTGTAAGTTAATAGACGCACATTTGAAATGTCTGAAAATAAGAATATATTTATAAATGATAGGAAAAAATATAGTAAAAAAATTTAATAAAGTATAACAATCAAACAAAACAAACCAACAAACCAACAAACCAAAACAAAATCAAAATTTATATCACAAAAAAGTAAGGAGCAATAATGACCGCTAAAAAAGGTCAGTAAAAAAAGAGAATAAAGTATTTTAAAGTAAAAACAATAAAAGAATCAGTGTCACGAACAGAATCAAAATGCAGTTGCTCCAGCAACCTGAGCAATTACTCTTACAGATGTCGCATTTTAAAAACACAACTGTGCTTTCCACAGTAAATGAAAACGTAACAACAACAAAAATATACGGCGTTGTATTTCTCATATTTTTACGGCAACATTGTTTTAAAGCCGCAACCAATTTTAGAATTGTCCTTCAGATCTGTGTCCTTGGCGTAATATACTTATTGATAAAGGTTATAATTATACGGTTGTTATTCAATCACTGCGTCTCGTATATTTGAGATAAATGTAAATTCGATAATTTACAGTTTAAAGCAATTTCAAAATGATTCTATTGTTTTTTCTGTATATTTTGTGTTTTGGCATTGCACAAGATCATATCTTCCTGGGACTGATTAATATGATGTTGTTGAATGAAATCTTCTATGAAGTACAGCAACCGATATTCATCCGAGGACGGCATGATTTCTTATCAGCAAATCAAGCACTTTAAGCTTGCTGTTAATGAGACTTCGAGCATTCTCAAATATGGTTAAATTTGTTATTCATTTTGTCTTTTTGTTGTTTATCATACCGTTATTTTAAGTAATTTTTCTGTATGTTCTGTTATGTGCGATTTGTTAATCTGCTGATTAAAATAAAAAAAAGGGGGAAGGTTGATAATCAAAAAAAAAAAAAAGATTATTAATAATCCCTCCACATTTGTGTGCGCCAATCTGATGTCATGAACCTCGTCAAAAGTTGTCGTATGTCATATCTTAATGTTTTTCGTTATTTGAAGAATTAGATGTAAATGGCAGATCTTTGATTGTTTTTGTTAAAATTGTTCACAACTTTTAAAGAATCTGGACAACTAAGTGCTTGATAAAATTCTATAAACACAATCCTATTGTTGTCATCCAGATGTGTTTGGGCTATGTGTGTCTTTTGGGTTATTGTCTCATTAATGGTTACCCAACATCTCGTTGATACATAATATGGAAATATGAAAATTCTTGTTTCTATTGTCTTTATTTGTTATGTTTTTAAACTTTACAGCTCTTTAAATGTTAATTCACAAGTAATCCTAAAAGCACAAAACACAAATAATGGCTGTTGTGGTGTCCTTACTATACATAATGTCTGCGTTGTATCGACTGAAGAGTTAAGCCCTTTTCATCTGATTTTTATAGTTTGTTCTTATGTTGTACTATTACACTACTGTCCCGGGTTAGGAGGAGGGTTTGGCACCAGCAAACTAGTTAAACCCCGCCACATTCTATATGTGCCTGTCCCAAGTCAGGTGCCTGTAATTCAGTGATTGCCGTCTGTTAATGTTTCTCATATTTGTTGTTCGTTTGTTGTTTTGTATGGTTTGATCTTGTGTGGTGCCGTTGCACCACTATTCCACGATAGGGAGGGTTGGCGGCTTCAAACTAGTTTAACCCCGCCACATCCTATATGTGTCTTTCCCAAGTCAGGAGCCTGTAGTTCAGTGGTTGTCGTTGGTTCATGTCTGTCATATTTGTTTTTCGTAAATTGTTTTGTTATAAATTAGGTCGTAAGTTTTCCTTATTGAATTGCTTCATATTTTTCCTGTTGGGGCTTTTTATAGCCGAGTATACGGTATAGGTTTCTTTTTCATTGTTGAAGGCCGTACGGATACCTGTAATTGCTAACATCCACTTCATTTGAACTTTGGTGGATAGTTGTCTCATTGGCAATAATACCACATCTTCATATTTCTTTGGTCATTGAAATAATTAGAAAAAAAGTCGTCCAGCAAGTCGTCAAATCATGAAGTTTAACTTTTAATGATATCATCCGTATGGTGGAAAGTGAAATAAGTGTTCTTTTTGTTGCTATCTTAAGGGTTTTCTATGATACCGTGTCCTATAGAAGAGAGATGGAAAAGTAGTACTATATGTATACTCTGGAATACGCAGAATATTTTAACCACACCCACAACAATCACCAAATATGTTGGCAAGCTGAGTCTAGACTATTTGAAATTTACAAGTTCATAAGTAGGCTTTGTTTCAGATAATATAAATAAGCAGATGTGGTATAAGTGCATCCAAGTCACAATGTTTAAAAAGTTAACAATTATAAGTCAAAGTAAGTCTTAGAATTACATGTCGAGATACCTGAGAATTAACATTCAAAGGCGGATGGGTCGAAATGGTTATTATACGTTTTCCTTTTATTATTATAATTTTTTTGTTTGTTTTGTTTTAAAACTTAGCAAAAGTTAATAACTTATATCAGTTATGGCATTCAGGTCTATGAATTTAAATTAAGACCATTGCATGTTTATTGTTTTATATATATAGCCTGATATAGAGAAAAACTTAATGGAAGTTATTTATCCACGATTCCTTGGACATCTGGAGAAGTTGCTAGACAAAAACAACGGAGAATGGTTGGTTGGTGATAAGGTATGACATTTGCTGTTAGATATGAAATGGTGAATAGTTATTTTATAGTTTCTGGTTTATTTGTTCACAACTTTTGTTAAACTCGAGACAGTGCAGAGCTTGATATACCAAAAAAACTATGTACAGAAATTTTGTACGAGCTGTGCACCATGAAACTAACACTATATAATTTCGGTTCCGAAACGCTTTTCTGAATTTCTTTTCGTCAAGAACACTCAAATCCCAAAAGCTATATATGATCAAAAGGGACATAAAAAGAATTTATCACCGGAAAATTTATGATGAAAGTTATGTTATAAATCGTGTCAGTACCGAAGCACTGACTACTGAGCTGATAATACCCTCCAGGACTAGTAGCTATCCAGCCCCAGTGCTAAAAAAATGAAAACAATAAATATAATTTTGGTGCGTGCAAAGCGCCCTCCTGGATTTACCTTCATTTATGTCTTCGTTGTAGTTTAGAGCCTACCTACGGTTTCTTACTTCGTTGTAGGCTGTATTGTCGAAATAAAGCTAAACCCTACGCTTTATGTCGTCGTGGTAGGTTGCACTGTGATACTTTTGATTACTTGGTAAAGTATTGTTATTTCTTTGACATTTACCCATGTATTTTTTTCTTATAGCTATCTGTAGCAGATTTGGCATTCTTTGATTTAATGAACAGACTAACAGCAAAGAAAGGCAATTCTGTATTTGAATCTTCACTGAAAATGAAAAAACATTTGGACAAAGTAACAAACATTCCAGGGGTACGAAAGTGGCTTGAGAAGCGTCCAGTAACGGACATGTAATCTGATACTTAACTCATATATATCATAATTGACATACAATTGCTTCGTTTCCATTTTTTATGGCCCCGCAACAAAGTTGTCGGAGCCATATAGTTTTACCCTTATCCGTCATTCCGTCATTCTGCCATTCTGTCATTCCGTCATTCCGCAACGAACAGTTAATACGAACGTTTTTTTCTAAACGCCTTCACATATTGAGCTGATTTTTAGTATGTGAGTCTACTATGATGAGTTACAGATTAAGTTTATGTTTGGTTTTGCTCCGCTGATTTTTGCAGAAACTTCGGGCTTTGAAAATTTTGTGAAATAGCAGTTATACGGACTTTTTTCTAAACGCCTTCACATTTTGAGCTGATTTTTGGTATGTGAGTCTACTATGATGAGTTACAGATCGAGTTTACGTTTGGTTCCGCTCCATTGATTTTTGCTAAAATAACGAGCTTTGGACTTTGAACATTAAACGTGAAAATAACAGTAATACCGACTTTTTTTCTAAACGCCTTCACATATTGAGCTGATTTTTAGTAAGTGAGTCTACTATGACGAGTTACACATGTTGAATTGAAGCAGACAAAACACATTTATAAATACAGAATATAGTTGTAATAAAAGTCTTGATTATATTTTTTATTGCAAGTCCTTGAAATTGCTGCGTTTAGTGAGGATTCGCTGACTGTTTATTGATGCCACCTTATATCGTGTTTTTCTATGAGCTAGTTTGAAACAGACTGAATTACCTTTTATGTCTGCCGTCAAATCAGATTCTCAACCCGTATTATAAATTGAGGAATGGTGTTCGTCTAATTTCGCCGTTGCCTGCATGTGTTGAGATGAATTTTCATTGATATGATCATAATTATAAATCAGCTGTGAACTAAACTTTGAATTTTCCGAAATGCCAAGTATTTTCTACCACAGGAATAGATTACCCTAGCAGTATTTGGCAAAACCTATCGGAATTTTGAGCTCTGCAACTTCGGCCTGTTAACTTTTTTATTCGAGCGTCCCTGATGAGTCTCTTTTAGACGAAACGCGCGCCTGGCATACAAAATTATAAGCTTAATTGGTATCTATGATGAGTTTATATGTACGGTACTTCAATAATCGCAAGATATAAATTACACATTTTGTCTGTAGTTTATCTGTTCTTTGTTATTCGCGGCGAATGTATGTTAAATGATTTTCGATGATGAGGACGGAGAAAGCCCACAAAGGAGAAATTAGTTCGCAGTCCATATAGTAACCATTCCATTGAATAATCGTATTATACGTAAAATGTGTACAATATCCATTTTATTGACAAAGTAAGGTCTAAAATAATACGTATTCTCTTCTCTATTCAATAAAAAGTCTTTCGTGATGTTTATTGTTCGGAAATTGATAACAAAGGATGCAATTTGTACTTGTTAATTTGGTATTAATGAAAACAGGAATCACGTATCCATATATATATATACCTATATGTTTACCGTATACCATCTTTTCCGCAAGTTTGTTGTTTTCTGTTTGGTATTAAATTAATAATTAAGATCCATTTTGTTACATCTTGTGATCCGTTTATTTGGCAATCGCCATGGCAGTCAGCAGGGTTTAAGAACATCTGCGTTTGTTGTATGGCTGTTCTGTCTCGCCAACATACTGCATGCCACATCGACACTGAAGGAGGTATACAACATTCTGGGTTTTGCAAGTTACATTGCAAAATACGGTCGTGTCAGAAGTTATTGTTTATTGTCCAATCAAATTCCAGTATATAGTTAACAGACTGAAACAGACTACCTACCTTTTGTTTACAAACATCCAAACAAACATAGCAAGCAAGTTGAGCAAAGGTTTGCTTTGCATGCTTTTATAGAAGAGCTGTAACATACTTTAAAAAAAGGTCTTGCAAAACGAAATTCAATGAAAAAAAAACCCATTAATCTTACAAGATCAAAATTCTTACTGGAAATAGGTAGAACGATTAACGAAAATATAAAAACGATACAAGAAATACTCACAATGACGCATGATTTACGGATAAATAAAGGTGCCAGTCCACCAATTCAAAATCCCTATATATATCTATTCAACCGTTTTTTTCAATTTTAACAGCTTTCTAGATATCTTACCTTAAGTTTAACTTTATATAAACCAAGTATATCCTCAATTGTACATTTATCCCATCACTTCATGCCAATTTTCAACCAATGTTTAAAAAGTCTTGTAATGAAACACTTCCGTTCAGAAGGTAACAACTACTAAAAATAACCCCTAGTTTTCTTGAAATCTTAAATAAGTATACTACGGAGCGCATTAATTCTCAATATTAATCAGACTCATGGAAGTAAAGTTTGGCTCAAAAGGTCTAAATATATTTCTCTTTTACCAAAAGTTTCATTTCTGATGAAGGAAATATGCCTTTAACATGAACAACAAAGTCTCCATCCTGACAGTAGAACTTGCTCAACAGAATGTAAATAAATAAGGAACCAAGTGTTAAATCAATAATTATTAATGTTTTTGAAACACTTTATGCTTTATGTACTTTGTCTATAGAGTGACTATATGCTATTTTTTTTTTCTTTGTTGAAATATAGTTATTTGTTTTTATAGTTATAACACAATGTTGACTGCTTTACCCTAACTGTTTACATTTTTCCCTATTATGTCTGTTTGTTTTGCTCACACATTGTTGTCAATATAATGGAATTCTATATGACTGTCATAATGGCAAGTGAGAGGTTTAGCTATCTCTAAAACCAGGTTTAATCCACCATTTTCTGCATAAGGAAATGCCTGTACCAAGTCAGGAATATGACAGTTGTTTTCCATTCGTTTTTATGTATTTGAGCTTTGATTTTTTGCCATTTGGTAAAGGACTTTCCGTTTTGAATTTTCCTTGGAATAAGAATAAGAATAAGATTTTTTTTAGTTTAAAATCCAAACAATAGGATTGTTACTAAAGAAAAACATGTAAAGGGGGCGTTATACCAATATTGAGAGAAAACAACACATCTGCCTATCCTGTAATAGACAAGAAATTGAGAATGAATACCATTTCTTCTCAGTCTGTCCATGCTATATATCATTGAGGGATACCTTTATACAAAAAATTAATACTAATCTTAATTTCAATTTTATTAAATTGCAATCAGCTATAACACTGAGGCATATAACCACACTTTTGAATAGCAGTTTGCCAGTCATTATAAAAATCACCACAAAATATATTAATGATTAAAATTGAGAATGGAAATGGGGAATGTGTCAAAGAGACAACAACCCGACCGAAGAGCAGAAAACAGCAGAAGGCCACGAATGGGTCTTCAACGCAGCGAGAAAATCCCGCACCCGGAGGCGGGCTTCAGCTGACCCCTAAACAAAAATGTGTACTAGTTCAGTGAAAATGGACGTCATACAAAACTCCAAAACATATAAATGAACTAAAATAAAAAACATACAAGACTAACAAAGACCAGAGGCTCCTGACTTTGGACAGGCGCAAAAATGCGGCGGGGTTAAACATGTTTTGTGAGATCTCAACCCTCCCCCTATACCTCTAGCCAATGTAGAATAAACAAACACACAGCAATACGCACAGTAAAACTCAGTTCAAAAGAAGTCCGAGTCCGATGTCAGAATAGTTAACAAAAGAAACTAAGCAAAATGACAATGATACATAAATTAACAAAGGACTACTAGCAGTTACTGACAAGCCAGCTCCAGACCTCATTAAACTGACTGAAAGATTATGTCTTCATCATATGAAAATCAAGCACAATCCCTCCCGTTAGGTGTTTAGTATCATACCATCATAAAAAATATGAGAAGAACATAACCCGTATCATGCCAACAACTGGTTTTAGAATAAATGTGTTTATTTCCGATGCAAAGACCCTATGAATACCAAAATATGACATCTTTAACATGTTTAATGACCTGACATCAAACATGTTTAATGGCCTGACATCAGCGACTCTTTTCACAAAAAATCTAACGATTAAAATTGATCGTAAGTTATACTGAAATGTGTATGACTAACTTACGAGTATTTTTACTCTTAAGATTTTTTGTGAAAAGAGTCGCAGTATCGTAACTATATCCCTTCTGAATAAGTCTGTTTAAAGGTTTGGTTAGCTTTTGAGGTGAATGCCGACATTTTTGTGCTTTGTATAGAATATTACCATAAAAGACTGGATGTGAAATACCTGAACGTATAAGATGTCTGCATGTTGATTTATATTTACGAATTATGTCCTTGTACCGATGATAAAATTTAGTAAATGTTTTGAATAGTTTGTGATATCGAAAACCCTGGTGTAATAAAATTTCAGTAATACAGAGATTTCTTTCGTTAAAATCAAATACGTTGTTACATACACGAGCGAATCGAACAAATTGAGATATATAAACACCATAAGATGATGACAAGGGAACGTCACCATTTAAAAATGGATAAATTAACAATAGGAAATGAAATATCGTCTCTTTTATCATAAATCTTGGTATTAAGCTTCCCGTTTACGATATAGATACCAAGATCCAGGAAAGGGCAGTGCTCATTGTTAATATTAGCTTTATTTAAAGTCAGTTCAGCAGGATAAATCTCTTTAGTGTACATACTGTAGTCGTCATTATTGAGAGCCAATATATCATCCAAATATCTAAAAGTGTTATTAAATTTTTGTATCAGATGTTGTTTCGATGGGTCTTTAATTGCGGATTTTAGTCATAAATTGTAACTCATAACAATACAGAAACATAAAAGATTGTCGATCTTTTATTGAGAAAATGTAGTCTTTTATTTTTTGATATGCATCCTTTTTTGTTCATGGACATTAATAATTGTTTATCTGTCAATACACACATATTTGTTGTCTTCTCTTTCGTGTGAATACCACTGTCACTCTTATTTAATTATTGTCAGTTTATTATTTCAATTTTTCAATGATATAATCATTTAATGTAAATGTATTTGTGCTAATCAGTGGCGGATCCAGAAATTTTCATAAAGGGGAGGGGGGCACTGACTTCTAAGAGGGGGCCCGCTCCAGTCATGCTTCGGTGATTCCCTAAATAATCAACCAAATTTGTCCCACAAAAGGGGGGGCCCGGGCCCCCTACAAAACCCTCTAAATCCACCCGCTCAGTCTGCTAATAAATATTGTATATTGTATATTGTAAATAACAAAACAATAGACAGAAAACGATACAAACATGTAGCATTTTAAAAAAAGTGTTAATATTTATTACAATATTAATTTTTGACAATATTTCTCCTCTATAAAAGAGTTCGGAATTTTTGTTATTTTACTTTTTACGTACTTTTCTGTCCCTTTCGCCATTGTGGATTTTGGTCATATTTTATTCGGTAATTATTCCCCTTACTTCAATGCACGTGGAGATGGCGGGAGTTTGTCAAAATTTGACAGTAGATTGAAGAAGTGATAAAGATACATTTGATGTGTAATTGATAGTCAGATTTGTTTGAATTTGAGCTAATACCAGATTTTCTTTTAGGCAAACATGATTTCAAGTGTTGACAATAACACAGTGGTCTAAAATGAATAGCTACGTACTGAATTAAGTAAGCATAGGCACTTGTTTCTATCAAATACTTCGTTGGAAGGTCGACTATCAATGTATAATAGATAGAAAAAAGTGCCAGTGTGATTAAAAGTCCTCATGAAAGGTCATAGCTGTGGATCTGTAACGAATGGTTCTAACTTCTAAGCACAGGGGCTCGGTTAGCAGATTAAAATTTTGTTAAACAATGTTTTGCAAATTTTTTTCGTATTTCCTGTCTATTTGTATTACATGAGGGTGGTAAAGGGGGGTGCTTGTATGGAAAAAAACGTGAAATAAGACATAATTTCATGTTGAACTTGAAATCTGTCATGAATGTTGCACGAAAAAGAAAGGAGAAAGACTTTGATGTGAACTGTTTGTGACTGAGTTACTGTCTTCTTGTATATATAAACTCTCTGTTTTACTTGATATTCCAGATTTAGTATACACATTTATAATATAAATGGTTTATGGCTTTTAAAAAAGTATATAACGATCTTCTTAACTTTTAAAATGCAAATATCCCGCAGAAACGAAAGTGTATTCTTGATCTATTTCATTGTCTTTTTTAACAAGAATAAACACGTTGTCATGTTATCCATACCACCAGCTGCCACGACTCGTGGTTAAAAGTATCAGAAATTGGAAGTTTGAACTGAAAGATGATGGAAAGTACAAACACGTTAAAGCTCATCACTGTTCAGATGTCAAACCTATTTAAAGTCATTCTTTTCATTTTACCAAAAAATCAAAGAATCAGCAATGAGAAAGCATGTATCTAGGAGATCCGAAAAGTGTTCACAAGTTAAAAACATATCAGATTTGAACTTAATATGAAGTCATTATGTAAAGTTGTTTCTTAGAAAAATCTAACGGAAATATTTGTTGGATTGACGAACAGAAGCACAAGTTGATTGTAATATATCCATAATCCTACAGCTTTCCCTAGTAATTCACTCCATGCAGGTCTCATTAGTCCTTTTATTTTTTGATGTTTTCTAACATAACAATCATGAACTAGAGACATATATGGCAATACAGCAATCCATCAACATATTCATACCAGAGGACTATAGTAGCATATGGTATAACGATTTTGAATTTATCGCAAACTGAATCGAATCAAAAGAATACGACAAAAATAAATATGTATGGCCCGTTATGAATTTGTTTAGACAATAAAATGTCAGTGTGATGTAGTTACTTAATACTTAATGAACAATGTGTTAGGCCAAACCAGTACATATATCTTGGAAGCTCCAAAATCGATAAGGAACATTATCAAAGGCCTTTCTGCTTTATCAAAAAACAAAATTGAATCCATTTTTTTCTTGACGATCTCTGCCAAGTGGTTTGAATTTTATTTGAAAAATACAGAGCAAGCAAAATAAGCACTTGAAAATAATGATGCACGCAAGATTAAATAAGCAAAACACGTTGAACGAGGCACCTGTCTTGCACGACTGAACGTCAAATAAAAAAGTAAAAACACGTTGAACGTGAAATAAAAAACGGCGATCACGTTGCACGAAAATAACCCTTCACCACCCTCTTACATTATTAACGATTTTTACATTGGCATCAATATTTTTTTGTTTTCTAGCAATGGGGCCATTTCCATATCAGTATACTGAAAAATCCTAGCAATGTGCAGTTTTACTAGCCATATCCGTATACTGAAAATTCCTAAAGGGATCTAAGTCGCCATTTTTGAATAGCCTACCCTTCTTTAGATAAAAATAATTAAAAATATTTCTATGTGATTATATACCTTGCAAAGGCACTCGTGTCCTTCCTTAATGATTCTTCTATCACCACCATGTATTGATTTTCCGATCAACAACAACCTTACTCAGCTATCGTTTCCTTTAGGTAAAAAAATTCAAATTTCCCGGCAAAAGCAACTTTATTGGCAAATGTGTCTTTTTAAACAACATAGATGTAAGGGGGGATAACTCTGTCATTCAGAAACTTCTCTGTTGATACGTTTAGTTTTCAAGTATTAATTGTTTTAATGTTCTTCAAGATACTGCAGTTTAGTAGTATTTAGTTCAATGTTTAGATTGATTAATTGTTGGTTGCTTAACATCCAGTGGCTAAATATTTAGAAGAAATGTGTTCACTTCTATGTATTTAAATGCACACTTACCCATAGTACTGTCATTATACTTTGAACAATGAAAAAAGTCATACTAATTACCAAGTTTTCTTTGGGTGAAAAATTTCAAACTTTTGATGCGTTTAAATCAGATCTAAAACTTGTTTGTGATAGCTGCCTTGAGTGGTTTCACCAAAAATGCGTCGGGACTAGAACTTGCACCCAAAGGTACATACTGGATGTGTAGATGCTGCCAATTATAAATAAAATATATAATCTGTATGCAATATTGTATCATTGATTTGTTTAGGAATAAAAGTTTTCAAGTTGTGTTTTAATATATTATATAATTACATACATCATGTACATACATTTGACATATGGGACATACTATATTACTATTACCATCATACATTGAAATGCATTAACTTAACAATAACATAAGTAACTGTAGACACAAATATTATTGTTACGTTTGTAATAAGTTTTCAACGTAATCGTAGCCAGTGCCATCATTTAAATATTTGAAGACAAAAAGATGTATCAATAAAAAAACGTTTTCTGTTATAGCAAAATATAAGAAATAAGGAAAAAAAGTCAGAAAAAGCTCCCCAAAACACTGAGTATGGCTTGCTCAGTCTACTAATATTCATGGTATAGTCCTGTTTTAGGGCAATTTTCTCATAAGATTGAGTATGGCTTGCTCTGTCTACTAATATTCATGGAAGAGTCCTGTTTTAAGGCAATTTTCTCATAAGATGTGTTTTTGAGACTCAATCCACTCAGAATATTTCATTTTTGTAATATTTCACTTAAATAGCATGAAATTTTAACAAATGAGAGTACACACAAAGTCAAAGGTGCATGTGCAGCTTCCCATAATAGGTGTAATACCGCCATTGTGTTTCCTCTATTAGTCTTTGTTAAATTTGCACTTTTCAAAAAATTGTGCAGAATTTATCTTTGTTCAAATAAAGAAATACTTGGCATGAGTAAAGTTTTATCCTGTTCAGTACTATAGACAAAATTTCACATAACATTTCATTGCATATAAGAAAATAACCATCACTGGAAGTTAACCAATCAAATTTTCACCCCTTTTTTATACGCCCGTTTACGGGACGTATTATGGTATACCTTTGTACGTCCGTCTGTCCGTCTGTCCGTCGTCAACATGTCGGACATTAACTCAAAAACGCTTTAACCAATTTGCATAAAACTTTGGTGAATTGTTTATATCTATTGACGTGAGCTCCCTTTCGTTTTTTATAAATTTTAGATTTTAGGTTTCCAAGTTAAGGGGTTTTATTCATTAAAAAAAGGGGGATTTTCCAGTTTTTGGACAATAACTCAAGAATGCTTTCACCAACTTGCAAGAAATTTTGGTTGATTGTTTATATCTATTGACATGAGCTCCCTTTGGATTTTTATAAATTTTAGATTTTACGTTTCCGAGTTATGGGGTTTTATTCAAAAAAAAAGGGGGATTTTCCAGTGAGTTATGGGGTTTTATTCATAAAAAAAGGGGGATTTTCCAGTTTTCGGACAATAACTCAAAATGCTTTCAGCAGTTCTCATGAAACTTTGATGAATTGTTGATATCTATTGATGTAAGCTCCCTTTAGAATTTTATAAATTTTAGATTTTACATTTCCGAATTATGGGGTTTATTCATTAAAAAAGGGGGGATTTTCCATTTTTCATACAATAACTCAAAAATGCTTTCAGCAATTCGTATGAAACTTTGGTGAACTGTTTATATCTATTGATGTAAGCTCCCTTTAGAATTTTATAAATTTTATTTGTTTATAGTCTGACAACAGATTTACTAAGTATTGCGCAACAGCACAGTGTATTGCACAACAGCAAGTCAAATCTTTAATTGAATATAAATTCAATTCATATAACCAACTTCAAGTTCTTTGACTACATTTATTCAGAAACCTATAATACATGTATGTCAAATATTTAATTACAATCCAAATTCAGACCTGTATCAAGCTTGAATATTGTGTCCATTTTTGCCCCAACTGTTCGGGGTTAGACCTCTGCGGGCGTATCCAGCTGCGCTCAGCGAAGCAGTTTATTTCCTGTGTACTAGCTTTAGTAACCATGTAACCTGAAGTTTCCAAAATATTCTATAGCAACACCAAATAAAAAAATAATGGTGCTTTGAAACACCCAAGATATATATGTTTATGACTCAGAATTTTTTTTACTGCGATGAAATGTAGGATTAATTTCATACAACTGTCAAATTCAAGGGAATATTTTTTTCGACCCTTTTTCGTATGCAACCGGATGTGACGTTCTAAAATTTGGTGGTATCACAACTAGACCGACACGCTGAGCCTGATTTTTAACGTGCTAGTTCACAAGGTAACAGTCCCCAGGAAGACGTGTCACCTTACCTGGACACATTATTCTGATTTCGCGCTGACCAGTCTTTGCTCTTACTCCTAAATGCCATGTGCTTAGCGGAGAAGCAACAAATACCAATTTTAAAGTCTTTGGTTTGCCCCGTCCAGGGTTCAAACATACAACCTCCCACACTCAAGGCGAACAGGCTACCACAAGACCACAGAGACGGTTGAAACTAAAGATTGGACGGGATTTATTTGTTTGTGACATTTTAAAACAAAATGAGAATCATATTCTATACTTTTCTATAAATTTGATGTATCTTTGCATTTTAACTACCAATTGTCCAAAGAATGTGAGGCTTTGTTTCTATTTCATCAGATAACAATTGTCATTTTATAACCATCAAAGAATTCATATTCCTGATATCCCATGCTTCATGTAATTAAGGGGAACAATTTATTTTTTGTAATCATTAACAAATTTAATTTCCTTACAGGTAACCAATTGTGTTTAAAACCAGAATACTGGAACAAAATTTTATTTTAGTATCCAGTATTGCGATTGTCAAGTACAGGTGATCAATAAAATGCAAGCTCTAATGAGCTTTTGTCCGAATATATATAAACCATATTACTATATTAAAACAGTAGCACATACAAACAAAATACTTCAACTTCCTAAAAAGCACTTATTATCTTCCTAAAAAACACTTATTATCAATCAGCTAATTTGGTAATATATATATATAGCCTAGCATGATTGTATGATTCTAGTGCCATTGTGAGAATTATTTTTGGTTATGGGGAATGGTCCTCACTGTCAAAAAAAAATATTACAAGGACCATTAGAGTTAGTTTCATAGCTATACAGACATTATTATACAGTACAAAGACTCTTGCATGTAGGTCTCAAAATTTGTCTGATAGTCCTTCTGTCTGACCTGTCAGTCAAATATTGGTTTGACCCTCTCTCACAGTGTTTCTGATTCTAACAAATATGATCACAAAACTGCCAGTCATTATATAAGCAGCCAGATGGTCTTTGGCTAAGAGGGACCAGCTTTTCTTGGATGCAGTTTGACCAAACACAATATTTAGGCGTTCCCATATTGCTGGTTACTTTATCTTGGAGTTTCTACATAACCGGTATTGTAGTACACCAACAGTATAAATACAATAGGTAAATTGTTAACACCAAACTGTTTTCCAAGATAAATCTACCACTTAGGGTATCTAGCCTCAGGGTTGAACAAACTCTTTGAATAATTCCTTTTATGATTATGTGACCTGAGCAATTTTCTGATTTCACCGCCCACGGAATCCCTTATAGCCACAAAAAAACAGTGAAAAATTTAAACAAGCTACCACACCTTGAACCAATGCATTGCATTTTACATGACAGCAACACCCTAAACAGATGAGCACTGAAAAGAAAGTACATGTTTTCCTTCCAAAATCTTAAATAAAAAATAATTTTCCTTTTAACAGTATTTAAAGATCCATTTAATACATATAGAAGATACTTTTGTTTGAGTTTGGCGTCATTGTTTTCTCTCTGGTCTGCTTTCTTGCTAGGGTGTACGGATTGTTGCTGTCTGTTCATTGGTTTAATAATATCTCTGCTGAGGGGGGTATACAGAATAACCTCAATCTGTCTCATTAAAATTGTCTTTCTAACTCAAGGAACTCTAAATAACTTTCTGAAAACAAGCTTCATGTGAGAATGCTTAATAGTAGTCATTTCATTTTTCTCAAGAGCTACGAGTCAAATACGTCTGAAATTTGGTATCAACCTTTGTATGAGCATGCTGAGTTAAAAAATTATATTGCAAAAATAAATCAGCACATTAAGATCTATCTACCCTGTCCATTTCAGTGAAATTGGTCAAACCAGTATTGAGTTATTGCCCCTGAAATACTGTTTTTTTTTCCAATTTTCACATTGTTTTGCAAACCTCAAAGACTATAGGAGGTAGCATAAAACTGTAATTCTCAAAAAAATCAGCATGACAGGTGAGCCTCTTGTTTTAATTGTTACTCATTCAGTGAATCATGTAAATGGGCCTTGTATAGTGTATTATTTTGTATTAGTTCAGCTAATTGTTGAAGACCATACATTGACCTGAAGTTGAAACTTGCTTGATTGTTGCCTCATTGGTAATCTTAACACATCTGCTTATTTTTAAACATACTATCAGAATGATTTAACCAATGGTCATGTTTGCTTATACTTAGAATTGAATATGACCAGATTTTCATTCATTTACAAGTTTTAACTGTCTTCTCCTAAGAGAGATAAACAAATAAGGATATCTAGATGTAAACTTGAAACTGATTCATTAATATAAAAAATCAATTTTATATATCTTGTATTGGTTTTCAAATTTTTTAAGAAATTTTAACAAGGTGATTATAATTCTGTCATTTAAAAGAATATATCAATAGACTGGATCAAAAAGTAGAGATTGTAATTTATTTATATCTATTTATTTTTGTCATTCAGTATAACTGGGTAGATCTATACAGAACAACTAAAATGTCATCTAAGAAGATCATTAGTCTACAGAAAAAAGTGCGGGAGAAAAAAAACAGTATCCATGAACAGAGAAATATCTTCATGGCTTTGGTGGATAGCTTTGTTTCTGAGGTATAGCTGATATTGTAAAGATTTGTATATAATTATTGGTAAAAAGCTTAAGAAAATTTACAACTGTAGAATTCAGGATTTCCTAAAGAATTTTTCATGAATATTCAAGGTCACTTTCAAATCTATTTAATGTGAAGTTATGAACACTTTACAGTAGACTATTTATACAAAGTCGAGCGTCATCACGTTAAATGATAAATTATGTGTCCTCATGATCTCACATAAATTTTTCTAAACTTATGCATGTGTTTACTGTCTCACATTGAAAAGAAATAGGGTCTGTAGGCTTAGATAGATGTGATAAATGATAAAAAATTGTGTAGATAGGATTGTTAAATGTACACAATAAATTTAAGAGGGGTGCATGAAAAATGCCAAGCAGGGACAATGACCTTGTCAGTTCAAGAATGCAGGAATACAGTTTGCCTAAAAAACATTTAAATGACATCAGAAGTCAGTGTACAGTATAAAAGTTTTCTGGTGATGAATATGATATGAATCAAATGTATTAGAAGTCAGCAAAAATGTTGTTCATATCCAGTACATTGGACTTTATGTAAGTCATTTTCATGCCCCTCCTAGGGGCATTATGTTTTCTGGTCTGTGCGTCTGTTCGTTTGTCCGTCCGTCCGTCCATCAGTCCATTCGTCTGTTCGTTCGTCCGTCTGTCCAGCTTCAGGTTAAAGTTTTTGGCCAAGGTAGTTTTTGATGAAGTTGAAGCCCAATCAACTTGAAACTTAGTAAACATTTTCCCTATGATATGATCTTTCTAATTTTAATGCCAAATTAGAGTTTTGACCCCAATTTCACGGTCCACTGAACAGAAAATGACAGTGCGAGTAGGGCATCTGTGTACTATGGACACATTCTGGTTTTTCATAGCCTACTGAGGAAGTTTTTTTTTCTGTGTTGATTACACCCCTCAAATAAGCTTAGACTGATGTAGACAATTATTTCCTTTTGTAAAAAAGCTTTGAAATTTCAAATACATTGAGCCTTACATTGGGTGAGGTAGATATAATGTAAAGAGGGGAAGATGATATTATGTTCAATGTCACAAGGGATAGTCTCAACCAATAAACTGTTCATTTAACTATCAGTATTTACATGCAGTGGAATATAAAATATAAAATAACCAATTGGCATGATTGATCAAAGAAACTAATATTAAAATAAATTTGACAGCTGTTAAAATCTCTTCATTGGTCAATGCTAGTGTTCACATCTTACTGCAGAGTCACCTAGCCTCAACATTAGATGTTATCATTATCATTCATATTAAAATAAATTTGATAGCTTTTATAAGTATTTTTCTCAGAATGCTTTGAACTACTGCCATTTAATAGTCAGAAGAAAAAATCTGAAATTCATTCCTAATTTATAAATCAACTTAAAACTTGTGGTTTATTAATGCTTTTCAAAATTGGAAGTAACATGATTGATTACTTTAACTCATTAAAATCATTGCAGATTGATCTCTTGCATTCCATATTTGTTTATGTTGTACTGACCTATGTGATTTTGACCAATAAAAAAAACTACCCCAGCTTTCAAATCCCCTGCAAATGACCGAAATAGTGTGAAAATTTTACAGATCCTTGTTATACATTAATGGTGCTTCTTAATGTTAAAATATTGCAGTAAAAAAAGGAAAATTATAAAAGCACATACAATGTTTTTATAAGATACAGTTCTTGATCTGTGTAAAATAAGACTAAAATTCTAAGACAAATTATTCCTTGATAGGACTTGCACAAAGTTTGCTGAGAATATTTTTATCATCACATTTAGGCTGATGAGCAAGCGGAAAGGCTTTTGGCAGAGAAGGACAGTGGCCGGTTTATGCAGCATTATTTAGATGTAATGAAGATTTTAGACCAGTCTTATAATTCATGTGTCATGTTAACAGCAGAAGCAGAGAGTTTATGTGGTAAGACATGACATTTGTACCTGATTTACTTGACTAGGTTAAGGTACTATGTATTCATTTATTTTCATGGGTATCAATTTTTGTGGATTAAGGGAACATTGCAATTATGTGGATAATTGATTTCCATCCATGTCCAGTGCACAATGTTAAAACAATATTGTCAACATCGCGATATTTACAATAATAACACGATATCGTGTCAATATCGTTTACATTGTATGAACTCTTATATATTGTTTACATCGTTGACATCGTTAACATCGCGATGTATACAATGTTGTAAAAATATCGTGTTTACATCGTTTACATTGCGATATCAACAATGCTAACACTATATTGTGTCAACATCGTTAACATTGTAACAGCTGTTTTATACTGTTTACATCGTTGACATCGTATACATCGCAATGTATACGATGTAGAAATGATGTAGTGTTTACATCGTTTACATTGCGATATTAACAATGTTAACAAGATATATTGTCAACATCGTTTACATTGTAACAACTCTTATATACTGTTTACATCGTTGACATCTTTAACATCGCTATGTATACAATGCATTATCAATAACGTGTTTACATCGTTTACATTGTAGTGTGCACGATATGGTGTCAGCATTATTTATAATGTTTGAAATGTAATAAAATGTTTACATCGATATATTACAATTTATTAACGGTATATTATTGATTACAAATGTGTAAATTTTTGTAATTGGATAACAATACGGAGATGTCAGTATATATTCAGGAAACTGTCGGGGTATATACTTCATGTATTACCCCAATTATAAAACATCAACAACGTCATCATAGCAAACGTTACTATGTGACGTAGTCTTAAGCTATGCAGAACACTTAAAGAATGTAAGAGGCTCTCAGAGGGAAAATAATGAAGTGTATCCGTCAATTATATGTTTTTGATTTAAAACCACGCTATTTACACATTCAATACTTAAGTAATGTATTAAATTGCTATTACAAATTATTGCATATATAATAGAATTATTTTCACAGCAAATTATAAAATCATTTGCGGAAAATATCAAGTTTTTTTTTTTTAGTATTTGTTGTTGTTAAAAAAAATACATAGAAAATACAAACAGTATACATTGAAAAATATCAATGAAGAATAAAACAATATTTGAGAAGATGGAAACTTGTATTTAAAAGAATTACACAAAATATTAGGAAATAATAATCATGTACTGAAAATATATACTGCGTGGTGAATGTTAAACAAATACCTGATATTGATAAAAAAAAATAGGCAGGGATAATCAGTAATATATATGGTTTCATACAGGGTATATAATGTGATATTCCTGGCTTAGGGTTTATACGTTGTGAACGATGTAAACAGAAAGGTATAGATTTCATGTACAACATAAACATGATGTTGACACGATATTGTCAACATCACGATGTATACGATGTGAACGATGTAAACAGAAAGGTATAGACTCTATATACAACATAAACATGATGTTGACACGATATTGTTAACATTGCGATGTATACGATGTGAACGATGTAAAAACAAAGGTATAGACTCTATATACAACATAAACATGATGTTGACACGATATTGTTAACATTGCGATGCATACGATGTGAACGATGTAAACAGAAAGGTATAGACTCTATATACAACATAAACATGATGTTGACACGATATTGTTAACATTGCGATGTATACGATGTGAACGATGTAAACACAAAGGTATAGACTTGTTACACAACATTAATACGATGTTAACGATGTGAATAATGTAAACACGATATTGTCAACATCACGATGTATACGATGAGAACGATGTAAACAGAAAAGTATAGACTCTATATATACAACATAAACACGATGTTGAAACGATATTGTCAACATCACGATGTATACGATGTGAACAATGTAAACACAAAGGTACAGAACATATATATATATATATAGATAGGATACAATGTAAACACAATAATGACACGATAAAGTAGACATTGCGATGTTGATAATATCGACAAAACATCGTGCACTGGACATACTTCTTGATTTCATGGTTTTTCAAAAGTCTGCCTACAAGCCGACAGAAAATTTGTACTTTGTTGGTTAAACATTTAAGTTTGTGGTGCATCTGTACCGAAAACTGGTATCCCAGGAATGATATTGAATCCACAGTATTTCATATCAGCAACTAATCAAAATTAAGGGAAAAAGTGAATTTATGACCTTCATTTGGGATTTTGTCATTGAGGATTGATATATCTATATTTATTTGTCATGCCTCCAGTTTTACTAAAAATGATGCTCAAAAGAATAGAGGGTGTTATACACAAACCAGTGGCCATTCTTCTACTAAGCCTTCTGAGACAAGTATATGTTTTTAATGGCTCCAATTATTCTCTCTTGCAGTGGTGATAGCCCATGAATATTCCAGTGAAATATTTTTATAAGAGAGTCAGAGTTTTCCAGGAAAGTGAGCAATAGAGTCCCCTTGAATCCTCTATTTTAGAATTATGATGAATATTTTTTTTGGCTACCATGTTTCCAACCAGGGAAAACATTTTACGTATGAATTAATGGTTGGATATTGTGTTGAATTCTGTATTTTCAGTACATTTCACATATGTCTTATTTGTCTGTATAGTCGAGTTACTCGTGGTTTGTCTACAGTGTTATTGATTTATGTTGTTTGTTTTCAAGTGTGTTTACTGTTTGGTCTTACATGATCGTGCCTTATATTACAGTTTACATGTTGTAATGTACTATTATATTATTTATTTATGTGTTTCTCTGTCCTGAGTGTTCTTGCCTTTATTTGTACTGTATTCCTGTCACGCAATGTTGTCATTTTAGCTGCATTTTTAACATTGCCATATAAGCCGGAGGTTTAGCTAGCCATAAAACCAGGTTCAACCCACCATTTTTTCTTAAAATGTCCTGTACCAAGTCAGGAATATGGCAGTTATTATCAAATGGTCTGTTTCTATGTATGTTGACGTTTGTTTTTGTTGCAGTTCAGTGTTTCTGTTGTTCCGTTGTTTTCCGCCTATAGTTGATGTGTTTCCCTAGGTTTTGGTTTGTGACCCGGATTTGTTTTTGCTTAATCGATTTATGACTATTGAACAGCGGTATACTACTGTTGCCTTTATTTAATGATAAAACAAGAAAATTCAAGATTTTTATGTATAGAATTAAAATGACCCTAAACAAACTACTGTGTCATTCCTATATGTGGCTGGAGGTGTATTATCTTCCTGTAGTTAAATATTTATCTTTTTACAAAGTTTTAATGTCTCCTATCAGATAAACCACATGTCTCTTGTTACATTTCTTTTCTTTTAAAGTAGTCCAGGTTAGGGATTCAAGATCCCTGGAGTCTCTAGTTTGGTTTGTATCCAGTGATAAACAAAATACAAATAGTCCATATATAGTCAGTGTTAGGCACAGGTGAGTGATAAAGGGTCAAGGAGCAAGAATGTGAAGTATAGGGATGGGCATGATTACAGTCAAATATAATAGATAATTCTGATTTTTGTGTGTAATCAATTTATCAAAAGTAATCACTTTACTTTTTGATTACTGTCAATTACATATTACAAAATAAAAAAAATAAAACTAAAGAAAGTTGAACACAATTGTTCTGTTGAATATATTGATAAGTATCACTTTTTTCAATGAATTTACTGTAAAATATTTCTAATGTAGACAGTGTAGACTTGACAGCTACGGAGATGCTGACACAAGAAGAATCGGATGACGATGAGCTGACCAGTTTAAAAGGAGCCACAGCAGCCCCATATCATAACAAAGCTCTGATGATGAACAAGACATCCAGTTCTTGTGATATTCAAGAACCAGACATTATTGCAGGATCAACATCCGATCATATGTTAAATTCTGAAAAAAGTTTGTCTCCTGTGAAGTTCCACAACATACCAGATTACAAAGGTTATAATCAGAAAAGTGCTAATGTTGATAACTTGACACAAAACTATACAAAACATACTGTTATTAAGTCTATGATGAAGAGCATTGGTGTTGATACAAAGAAGGATGCTGACAATTTGGAAACGGGTGAGTTTGGTGTTTGGAAAAAATCCATTACCATGATTACTGAAGGTTTGAAAGTGAATTTTGTTCAGAGAAGAAATGAAAAAGCCACGATGGACAAAAAACAATTTTGATTCTAACAAAGCATTATGCTGATTTGAATTATCGTCCTTAGTGCCAAATAAAAATATATGTGTGGTTCCAGTTACCCGATTTACCATAGTTTTAGTGTGTCCAATCCATATCAAATTAAAAGTATTTATTCTCAAAATAGAGGACCAATATCTTGAGTTTTTCATCAGTGTCCTTTTTATACGACCGCAAAAATTTTTGCGGTCGTATATTGGTATGACGTTGGCGTCGTCGTCGTCGTCGTCGTCGTTGTCGTCTGGCGTCGTCCGGCATCGTCCGAAGACACATCGGTTTTCGCACTCTAACTTTAGTTTAAGTGAATGGATCTCAATGAAATTTTACCATAAGGTTCAATACCACAAAAGGAAGGTTGGGATTGATTTTGGGGGTTATGGTACCAACAGTTAAGGAATAAGGGGCCAAAAAGGGGCCAAAAATAAGCATTTTTGTAACTTCCAGATATAACTTGTGTGTTTATGTATGGATCTCTCTGACATTGTACCACAAGGTTCCATATCACAAAGGGAATGCTGGGATTGTTTTTGGGGGTAATTGCCTCAAAATATTAGGAATAAGGGGCAAAAAAAGGGGCAAAAAACAAGCATTTTTCTAGTTTCATGACAATAACTTGTGTGAAAGTATATTGATCTCTCTGAAATTGTACCACAAGGTTCCATATCATACAGGGAATACTGGGATTGATTTTTGGGGTAATTGCCTCAAAATTTTAGGAATTAGAGGCCAAAAAAGGGGCAAAAAACAAGCATTTTTCTAGTTTCATGACAATAACTTGTGTGTAAGTGTTTGGATATTTCTGAAATTGTACTACAAGGTTCCATATCACAAAGGGAAAGCTAGAATTGAGTTTGGGGGTAATTGCCCGAAATGTTCAGGAATTTGGGGCCAAAAAGGGGCCAAAAAACACATTTTTCTAGTTTCCAGACAATAACTTGTGTTCAAGTGTATGGATCTCTCTGAAATTGTACTGCAAGGTACCATACCACAAAGGGAAGGCTGGGATTGAGTTTGGGGATGATGAATCATAAGGGGGTTCAAAAAATTTGGGGGGGGGGGGGTTTTCCTTTTTTTTTTTTTTTTTAAATTTTCCATTTTAAGTTGGTTATTTCTGATTTATATTTAAAAGCAAATAATAATGATATGGTAGGAGATACACACCAAACAGGATGTGTAAATTATTATATGATAAGTATTGTGCAATAGCAAGAAATTTTCAATTGCACAGTATTGCACAATAGCAAGAAATCTTCAATTGCACAGTATTGCGCAATAGCAAGAAATCTTCAATTGCACAGTATTGCGCAATAGCAAGAAATATCCAATAGCACAATATTGCGCAATAGCAAGAAATTGTCAATTGTGCAGTATTGCGCAATAGCAAGAAATATTCAATTGCACAGTATTGTGCAAAAGAAGATACTTCGTATAAATTGCTTATTTCTTGATCAATTTCAATGGGGTTTTATTCTTGAATTCTTGGGGTTCTTTAATATGCTGAATCTAACCGTGTATTAAGTTTTTGGATTTTGGGCCCCGTTTTTAAATTGGTCCACATTGAGGTCCAAAGGGTCCAAAATTAAACTTTGTTTGATTTCATCAAAAATTGAATTATTGGGGTTCTTTGATATGCCGAATCTAACCGTGTATTTAGATTCTTAATTTTTGGTTCCGTTTTCAAATTGGTCTACATTAAGATCCAAAGGGTCCAAAATTAAACTAAGTTTGATTTTAACAAAAATTGAATTCTTAGGGTTCTTTGATATGCTGAATCTAAACATGTATTTAGATTTTTGATTATGGGCCCAGTTTTTAAGTTGGTCCAAATCGGGGTCCAAAATTAAACTTTGTTTGATTTCAACAAAAATTGAATATATGGGGTTCTTTGATATGCTGAATCTAACCATGTATTTAGATTTTTGATTTTTGGGCCCCGTTATCAACTTTGTCCACATTGAGGTCAAAAGGGTCCAAAATTAAACTTTGTTTGATTTCATCAAAAATTGAATTCTTGGGGTTCTTTGATATGCTGAATCTAACCATGTATTTAGATTTTGGATATTGGACCATAATAGGTGAATGTCCAATTTAAAATTTTTAAGTTCTTAGACCACATTCATTCTGTGTCAGAAACCTATGCTGTGTCAAATATTTAATCACAATCCAAATTCAGAGCTGTATCAAGCTTGAATGTTGTGTCCATACTTGCCCCAACTGTTCAGGGTTCGACCTCTGCGGTCGTATCAAGCTGCGCCCTGCGGAGCATTTTATTATGATGTCTTTTTATGTACTTGCTGAAATGACGTCACAACCCTATTTAATGAAAACAACTCATATTCCTGATTTGATACAGACATTCCCTAATGCAAATGGTTGATTGAACATAAAACTCAAAATTTTTTTGAATATTATAAGATTTTAAATCTTGTAGTGTCCAAATAATCATACTTTTCAACAATTAATTGTACATCTTTATTCTGTATAGTGTTTGCCATTGTTTATTGCCCCCTTGATGTCTTTCATTGATCTTTGTTGTAGGGTTGTTGTCTCATTGTCTTATATAAAACTAGAACACACCCGTGGGTCCGTGACGGAATTAAAGTAACTATGCCTTATTTTTAGCCTGGATTTTTAGTTTTCGTATTGTCATCTGATAAAGTCATGCTGATTGTAAGATGCACAATTTTCTCTGCTTTCAAAATCTTTCAGATTGATCCCGTCCTGGTTTTCTTACTACAATAAATATAAAAAGAAGATGTGTTATGATTGCCAATGAGACAACTCTCCACAAGAGACCAAATGACATAGAAATTAATAACTATAGGTCACCGTACGGCCTTCAACAATGAGCAACGTCAGCGAAAAGAAAAGGCCCCAAAATGACAAATGTAAAACAAACGAGAAAACTAACTGCCTAATTTATGTACAAAATAATAAGCTTACTATATACTAAATTATGTTTTTTTAACTAATTATCCAAATTTAATTGTGGTATTGAGGTGGAAAGAAAACAGACTCGTTAAATAGTGTACTATAGTTTAACATACACTTAAACAACTACTGGAAGGATTCTAGGTTCTCCCAATAGAGGAGGGATTTACAGAGGCAACAGGTAACTGAAACTACATGTGACATATACTATTGGTATCGATATTGGATTCGGAACTTGTTAATTATTGGTATTATTAATTATGTGGAAAACAAAAGGGCCTGGAATGGCGTAATTTTGAACAACACCATTGTTGTATATTAGTTATATATAAAGTTGAATTCTTTGATTCATTGTTTTTACGTCATGCTGGCTAACGAATTGGACCTTGTTATTTTAGTATTATAGATAAGAAGATGTGGTATGATTGCCAATGAGACAATTCTCCACCAGAGACCAAATGATGTACAAGTTACCTAACTACATGTCATGGTACGGATGTATCCATACCAACTACATGTCATGGTACGGATGTATCCATACCAACTACATGTCATGGTACGGATGTATCCATACCAACTACATGTCATAGTACGGATGTATCCATACCAACTACATGTCATGGTACGGATGTATCCATACCAACTACATGTCATGGTACGGATGTATCCATACCAACTACATGTCATGGTACGGATGTATCCATACCAACTACATGTCATGGTACGGATGTATCCATACCAACTACATGTCATAGTACGGATGTATCCATACCAACTACATGTCATAGTACCGATGTATCCATACCAACTACATGTCATAGTACGGATGTATCCATACCAACTACATGTCATAGTACGAATGTATCCATACCAACTACATGTCATAGTACAGATGTATCCATACCAACTACATGTCATAGTACGGATGTATCCATACCAACTACATGTCATAGTACGGATGTATCCATACCAACTACATGTCATAGTACGGATGTATCCACAAGTCATTTATTTATATGAATATGAAAGGAACTAGACATTTTTAAAGTATAAAGATATATGAAAACAATTAGTTTCTTTAAGCAGCTTTACACAAAGACAAAACTATACAGATAATATAAATAAAGATGAAACTCTTAATAATAAAATGCTTAAATGACATTGGACATTGATTAGAGGAGTCTTTGATCGATCCAACGTCGTTTTGGTTATACATGACGTCATATTGGATGTCGATTAGATGGTTAAAATATTGGTCACTGATTTGAGAACATGACTACATTAATTGGATGTCGATTTGAGGAACGGACATCTATTAGAGACTGGAAGTTGATCTGAGTCTTAACACTTATTTTTAATAATTATGTGAACTTTTTCAAAGATATCTAGCCAACTTAGGGTTTTGACCCAGATTTTCATGGTTCACTGAACATCGAAATTTTATAGTCATGATAGTGCCAGCAGCGCATGGTGTCCTAACTCCTATGGACATATTCTTGTTTTATCTGCAAGACAACATCAAGTCAATTCTAAACCAGACTTGAATCCACACAATTTTAAGGCCTGTTTGTGGAGAATATAATATTTACATTACTGGCATTCAGATTGATTCTCTGGTAGGCAAAGATGCATAATTAGGAATGAATGCTTCTCAGAGGCTCTAGTTTACGTGTAATAATACCAATGTAATAATCATATGCTTTTTTTACCTACTCATAAAGCTGCTTTTTTTTACTTCAGAAATTGGCTCTGTAGAATTAAATATAACAGCAGATGCCAATGAAGATATACAGAGCAGTCTACCTTCATCCTGTATTGGTAAAACTGTTTACTTTGGAGACAAAATGAGAAATGAAAAGATTTTGAGTAACCAGTCTTCAAAAATTAAGATGGAAAATACAGCTACATTTCTTGAAACTTTAGTATTAACAGATGGAAACATTGATGAATGCCATTCAACAACTAATAAACTTGAACATGATTCTCGAACAACACGAGAGCAAAGACCTTCAAACATTACAGAAATAGGATCAGAGCCTAGTTCAAAAATAACTTCAGATCACAATAAACTACACCCTGGAACAAATACTAGTGTTTCTTCAACAAATACTAGTACACCAAAGCATGTACTTCCAGGTAATACTTAAAAAGATAAAAATTCCATTAATTAAAAATTTACTTATTCATTAAGATTCAGCTTTGCTAAGGCCAAAAAAATCATCTTGTGTGTCCGTGTGTTTGCATTTGTCCAACACTTTTTCATCACATTTTTCTCATAAACTACTTTACATAATGATTCAATTTTTGATCAGCAGCTTGACTGAAAAGTTGTGTTGTTCTAGAGCTTTTCTAATCTGTCTGATACCTACTTCCTGTTTGCCTAGACTGAATATTTCAATATGTTGAATGAACTATAGAAAAAATATTGTCACACATTCCTCCAATACTAATGAACAGAATCACTTTATATTTGGTCAGTAGATCAATAGTGATGAGTTGTAACCTCTGTCACTATGGCATTTCAGGTTTTTAGACTTGCAGTTTTTTGTCTCGCCTTGACAGAGTCAAAAAGCGAGACATAGGTATGCTGTTTCCGGCGTCGGTGACGGCGGTGTCAACAATGTATTAGTTTGTGACTAGGCCTAGTTTATGGTGAACCACAAGTGGTAGGTCAATGATATTTGGTATGCAGTTGAATTAGCATTGGCACATCCCATTTCCATGGAGATAATTTGGCCCTGCCACCTCAGTCATTGTCTATTGACTTTGAAACTTTTGCTTAGTTAACATGTATTAGTTTGTGATTAGGTCAGTTTATGGGGAACCACTAGTGGTAGGTCAATGATATTTGGTATGCAGTTGTATAAGCATTAGCATATCTCATTTCAATGGAGATTATTTGGCTCCATCCCCTTAGTCATGGTCTATTGACTCTGAAAATTTTGCTTAGTTTACATGTATTAGTTTGTGATTAGGTCAGTTCATGGGGAACCATTAGTGGTAGGCCAATGTTAATTGGTATTCAGTTGTATAAGCATTAGCACATCTCATTTCCATGGAGAATATTTGGCCCCGTCCCCTCAGTCATGGTCTTTTGACTTTGAAACTTTTGCTTAGTTTACATGTATTAGTTTGTGATTAGATCAGTTTAAGATGAACCGCTAATGTTAAGTCAATGATATTTAGTATGCAAATTTATTGGCATTTGCAAGTCTCGTTTCCATGGAGATTATATAGCCCCACCCCTCATCATGGTTCATTGACTTTGAAACTTTTACATAGTTTACAAGTTAATGTTTGTGTTTAGGTTTGTTTAAAGGGAACAACTTATAATAAGTCAATGGTATTTGGTATGCAGTTGTATTAGCATTGGCACATCTCATTTCCATGGAGATCGTTTAGCCATGTACCTTCAGTCATGGTTCATCGACTTTAAATATTTGCATAACTTACATGTTAAAGTATTGCTATTTTAATTTCAACATTTGCATTATCAAAATTACAAAAAGGCGAGACATATCTCTGTGATAACAGTTTATTTATACTTTGAAGAATTACGAGTACATTTATGTGTAGAAGACAATGTGTGGGTTCTTGTTTTCTTGGTGATGCATTCTTGTGGTGTATATATATACAACAACATTATTCTTAAAAAAACCAGAAAAATGTTTCTAAACAAAAATCTGCCAGAAAATATAAGAACATACAGCATTATATTGCTGTTCAGAATATACTTAGTTCAAGTTTAAGAGTTGTCTCTAAATTTTTAAAAGAGAAAATTTAAGATGAAATACAAATCTGCTGATTCATATTTTATGCAGGTTATTTTCAGTAGTAGTAATTATGAGACAATAACAGAAGTTTTTAAATTTATTTGTTTTTTGGCCTTGCCTAGAACATACATGTATGTGACATTTGTTTTAATTTTATTTGATATTTTCAGAGACCAAGAAAAGAGTTGAATCCAAGTATAACAAGAATACAGCATCAAAACCTGTAAGTTAATATTTTTGTCTCCTGGGACTGTTTGTAATCACCATATCTTTGATTTCATATCTAGTTGATTAAGTCATATGTTTTTAACTAGGATCCAATTTGACTTTAAAGCTATAATAGATATGCTTGTAGAACAAACTTGGGTTGACTTTCTTGCTTTGTTTCTTGGATATTTTTTCAACCATTGTACCAAACATGTTAAAGATTGACACCATAATAGATAGGGAAAGTTTCAACCTGTATATAGTATACAAAGATTTGATTGGACAATAAATATTAAAGGGGCACTAGCTGTCAAATTCATGTTCACCGATTTGACTCAAATTCTCATATTTGATTTATAACAATGTAAAACATTTATCCAAATTATAAAAAGTCTAAAATAAACAATATACCGGGCATGGACTCGATAATATGTAGCTTCGTTTCATGTGTATTTTAGTGTAGACGCCATCTAATTAACTGTCGAGTTGACCCCAGAAGACCTCCGATTGCCATATAAGCGATATATAAACATAAATATAGATATAAATAGATATCAGACTCGTGCATTTATATTTTTCTATGTCTGTTTAATTTCATATTATAGATTAAAAATATATGTTAATTATCGTTTTTACCTGTATCAGAATGATTTTTTGTGGATCGAATCAGTCAATCAAATGATTTATTTTTGTTTCACTTTCAATGTTGACATTCTTTTCCTTTAAATAATTGAACACGCACAATGCATGCAGTATCCATCTTTAGCTAAGGGGTTAAATTGAAGTTCACATGAATACGGATTCAATGAGGTCGAATTATTCACTTGCAAGTGAATAATTCATCATCAATGTTTCTTATAATTAGCTTATTTTGACAAAATTGAACTATACTGGCTGCTAAAAGCGATATATTATTTCACTATTTCAATTTCATTAATGATTGAACAAAAAAAAATCATACTTTATATTTTTTATATATCTCGTAGCTAGTGTCCCTTTAATGTACATTATAATAAGAAACTTTTTATGGATCAATGAACAGGGAATAAAGCCCTTTGCATATAGATACATTAGAAATATTAAAAGGAATATAGGGAGCTGGAGAATAACTCAGGTCAAAATATTTTTTATGTTTTTACTTTTGTTTTTCCGGATTTTTTTATTATTTGACATAAACTTTTTATATTTAGTACATGGGTGCAGCATCTCCAAGATGTGTCCTGTACCATGGAAGAGATTTCTGACCTTGACCTTTGACATCTAAGGTTTTCTAATCTGATTTTTATATGTCAACCCTAGTTTCTGGAAACAATCATATTTGTCAGACATGGCCTTAACTTTAACAAAACTGCCAATCTGGTAGTGAATTGTAAGATGCAAAATTATTGCATGCCAAATTAAACGAGTGAAGGTATTATCAATTATTGATTTTTGATAAACATAACAAACTTTGTAGATGAATCTGGAATCATTCGTAATGTATGATGAACTTGAAACTTCCAGTTTTTATTTTATTTCTCAAAATTGAAAGTAGGGTGGTTAGTTCCTGAGAAATTTACAGTTTTAAGTCATTAAAGTTATTTAAATCTTCAACTGTTGCATTTCATAAATTGTCTTGAACGTTTTTAGAAAACAGTAAGAAATTTCATGAAGTAAATACATTAACTGTCAATATAATGTTGCTGATGCTGTAAATCTATTATGAATTCAACAGTTTGAAAAAAGACCCAATTTTTCAAGTCATCTCTAAATGACTGAATTGTGTTACAAAATTTCTGGATCCTTGCTTCAATCTTAAAATCCATGTATAGTTTTGCTTGTCATAGCTAAACCGTTTCAATGCAACATAAGGTATGCCCCTGGGAGGGTCATGTCCCATCCTCATATAATATGTTAAATATCTCAAAGGGTTCAGATCCCCATCCTTAAACAAAATATAATCCTTATTGCCTTGATAAAACCTTTTTAGTTCACTACAATCCCTGCATATCATTAATTGATGAATAGCTTCAAAACTTCAAATTCCCATTCCCTAAACCATATATGTTTGTAGTTGTCGTGACAAAACCTTTCAGTAGAACATAGATTTTTATGCTAGGGGTCATGCCCTAACCCCTACCCATAAACCATATATATTGTAAAATGCCATATCAAACCTTTTAAGTGTGCTTTAATTTTTGTATGGTGGAGGGGTGTGATGCCCCACCCCTCATATCAAAAAGTGTTAAATATATTAAAAACAGTTAAGATTCCCATCCATTAAACATACTTTATATTCTATTTTAGAATGACAATACATTTTTTGGATTATAATTTGTTTGTTGGGCCCTTTCCTGGGTTGACTTTTAAAGATGAAAGAGAGACATAGTTACTAGTTATAGTCCTCTAAAACAGTTCCACCTTGTTGTTTTGTATTTAGTTAATTAGCAAGTTTATAGCTAAATATACATGTACATTATTTTGTTTTCTAGGGACAGCCTAGGTTAGACACTGATGTTGCTGCCAGATTTCTCAAGGGTATAATAGTTCAGGCAGAAAAGGATAATAAAAGTCTAAAAAGTTTGTATTCATTATCAATATATAAGATACTGTAAATTCAGAAATAATTATGAGGTTTTTATTAATGCGAATAATGTGATTGGGTGAATAGGGCAATAATAAGAACTCGCAATCTGATATCTGATACATATATCAGTATGTAGATTTGCCTTAAATCACAATAATTATTATACCCCCGCTTTAAAAAAGTGGGGGTATACTGTTTTACCTCTGTCTGTCCATCCGTCCATCCGTCAGTCCGTCCGTCCGTATTTTTCATCGCATCTTTCTCAGGAACTACATTAATACAAGGATTTCTGAAATTTGGTTTCAGGGTTTATATGAGTCAGCTATATCGTGTGATGCGTTTTCAGGTTCATCACTCAACAACTTCCTGTTTACCTTATACTTTTAGCGGGGCGGGGGTATCATTAGTGAGCAGTAGCTTACAGATTCACTTGTTAATCCTGCATTTTTGTTCATTCCTCAAAAATCACAATAATAAATGCATGCAATAATTTCTGAATTACTGTAGTATGTTGGCATGTTTTGAATCTGTTGAACACCAACTTCCTGTTTGCTGATACTTTTAAAAATTGTTCAAAATGCTGAATAAACTTAAAAATTTTCATCACATTTTTTCAGGTGCTATTATTAAATAGAATGACTTCAGATTTGGTTAGCAATTTGAAAGTGATGCCTTGTCACTTGTGCACACATTTCAGATCTGTCAGTCATTCATTTCCTTTTTAGCTCACCTGGCCCGAAGGGCCAAGTGAGCTTTTCTCATCACTTGGCGTCCGTCGTCCATCGTCGTCCGTCATCGGCGTTAACTTTTTACATTTTGAACTTCTTCTAGAGAACCACTGAATGGAATGAAACCAAACATGGCATGAATGTTCCTTATGAGGTGCTGACCAAGTGTTGTTACTTTGTAGCCGATCCATCATCCAAGATGGCCGCCAGCGGGGGACTTAGTTTAACATAAGACCCTATGGGAAATGCATACAAATGACTTCTTTTAGAGAACCACTGAATGGAATAAAACCAAACATGGCATGAATGTTCCTTATGAGGTGCTGACCATGTGTTGTTACTTTGTAGCCTATCCATCATCCAAGATGGCCGCCAGCGGGGGACTTAGTTTAACATAGGACCCTATGGGAAATACATAAAAATGTCTTCTTTTAGAGAACCACTGAATGGAATGGAACCAAACATGGCATGAATGTTCCTTATGAGTTGCTGACCAAGTGTTGTTACTTTGCAGTCGGTCCATCGTCCAAGATGGCCGCCAGCGGGGGACTTAAGTTTTACATAGGACCCTATGGGAAATACATACAAATGTCTTCTTTTAGAGAACCACTGAATGGAATGAAACCAAACATGGCATGAATGTTCCTTATGAGGTGCTGACCAAGTGTTGTTACTTTGCAGTCGGTCCATCATCCAAGATGGTCGACAGCAGGGGACTTAGTTTAACAAAGGACCTATGGGAAATACATACAAATGTCTTCTTTTAGAGAACCACTGAATGGAATGAAACCAAACATGGCATGAATCTTCCTTATGCGATGCTGACCAAGTGTTGTTACTTTGTAGCCGATCCATCATCCAAGATGGCCGCCAGCGGGGGACTTAGTTTTACATAGGACCCTTTGGGAAATACATAAAAATGTCTTCTTATAGAGAACCAATAAATGGAATGGAACCAAACATGGCATGAATGTTCCTTATGAGATGTTGACCAAATGTTGTTACTTTGCAGCCGATCCATCATCCGAGATGGCCGAAAGCAGTGGACTTAGTTTAACATAGGACCCTATGGGAAATACATACAATTGTCTTCTTTTAGAGAACCACTGAATGGAATTGAACCAAACATGGCATGAATGTTCCTTATGAGTTGCTGACCAAGTGTTGTTACTTTGCAGTGGATCCATCATCCAAGATGGCCGCTAGGGGGGGGGGGGGGGCTTAGTTTAACATAGGACCCTATGGGAAATACATACAAATGTCTTCTTTTAGAGAACCACAGAATGGAATGAAACCAAACATGGCATGAATGTTCCTTATGAAGTGCTGACCAAGTGTTGCTACTTTGATGCCGATTTACTGTTCAAGATGGCCACCAGGATATTTTATAAAATAACGGGACCAATATTAATCAAAATTTGGCCTCAATCATTATTTGGGTATCTGTTATGATTTTTATCTATCTTTACATGATTTCTAAAACCAAAGTAGAGTCAGGTGAGCGACACAGGCTCTTGAGAGCCTCTAGTTTCTGATACGTTAAATTAAAGAGATGGTATGCTTATCAAGACAACTCCTGCTATTTGGTTTAAATTTTATAAATAGATTTTTATGAGTATGGAAAAAATTTGTTTAGGTGTAAAGTTTTAAATTTTATTTATATATATATTGATTATTTATTAAAGATTCAAAACCAACAAAAGGCAGAGATAATTCACAGACAAGAAAAAATAAAATATTACCAGTAAAAGACACTATAGATCAACAGACTGGTAGCAATCTAAACAAAAGTGAAATTGATATGGCTGCAACATCTAAATCAACTCCAGACAATGGAGGAACCACTGATAAAACAGCTAAATCCTTGACTGAGAAAACTCAAAGTGCAATGATTGAAGGAGATCTCATAGAAAAATCTGTAAATTCAAGTCTGAATGACCTAGCAGTGTCAAGTACTCAAAGTTCTGTCACAGTGAAAACCTCCATTCCACTTGAAATGAATATAACTTCTGACAGCTTCAGATTGACTGCCACCAGTATTGGTGAGATCAGTTTACCTGTGGGTAGACCAATGCCTGTTGTTGTCAGTGAAACAAGAAGTCCTTGGAACTTTTTTATTCAAATCGTCAATAGCTCATTAGAGAAACTTATGCAAGATATCAGGTAGGTTTTTATAATTTCAAAAACATTTTCAAGTTGCACAATTTACTATTAATAATTACACCAGGCTATTGAACCTTAATATTCTAAACCAGAGGAGATAATAAAGCTATGATATCATATGCATGCTTTCACAACACAAATTAACAAAAAACAGTTTAGAGTTTGTCTAAATTGAATGAAAAATCAAGCAATTCTGAATTAATTCAAATTCAAAGAATGAAGTTAAAACCAGTACATGCCATATTTATAGAACATGTTTGTTGTTGCTTAAAATAGTAGGTGACAGTAACTGTTGACTGATGTGAACTTTTCCTTAACTAGTACAGTTGCTGTAATATATTCATTGAAAGTCAACAGTGGCAGGGGCATTAAGTTTTACCCTTGTCCATCTGTCTGTGTGTCCATCAGTACTTCCTGACATTGGTTTTTGTTCTCCAACTAAGTTTGCCTCAACCAAATGTTAAGAAACTTATACACAATGCTTATTTCCACCAAACACAGATCAAGTTCATCCAGGCAAATAGTTATATTGCTTTTAGTTGGAAGAGAAATTTTTCATGCAAGCAGACAATAAAAATTATGGGATTACAACACTGTAAATTTGAAGAAAACATTTGAAATAGTTTATATTCATTGAGAAACAAGTTGGTGAAAGGGTGTTCAATGAAAACTGAAATGAGTGAAAGACGAGAAATTCACAAATTTACCTTCTATTGCACAATCTCTGTTGCAAACGTGTTCTGATTCTCATTTTGACTTTGATGCTGATCACATATATGATTATATTGGTAGTTAAAAATATTGAAATGATAGTTGTTAAAAATTGGAATGACGATGTTGTGCGAAAATTAGATGACAGCTGACTGTGCATGCTGTGCTAGACAGGTGACCGCTGATTCAAGTTAAATTAAATAGAGAAAACATTTGGGAGGGTCAAAAAGTGGCCGTCAAGGGCAGGTGACCTCTGAAACAAGGTGACCATTATAGCAGGATTGAGTATACAGAAATAATTTGTGTTTGTAAGTGTAATGTTCATCATTAACAATCCTTGTACATATTGAAATATACAATATTAGGTCAATGTCAGAAAAATATCAACTTTTTTAGTATGAGGCTTAGAAACTGAGGAAGTGCAAGGTTTACTGGGCCCTTTCAACTGTTCCTTGCAGAATACAAAAAAGTTGATATTTTTTTGCCATTGACATTGTTTATATACTGCAGCTGAAAATGGCTACAATTGTCGTTATGAAAATGTAAACACAAAAAAAACCTGTATTTCCATCCTTAAACGAACCCCAAATTGTGAAGAAAAGTAAAATGACATGAAATCGACATTCTACATAATCTCACTTTGTTACTATATTTGATAGATAAAGACAACAGGAAGTGTTCTAGCTGCTGTATAAAAATTAGGACAAGGATAGACCTTAGATAAATTTTTGGATCCTTATAATATTTAATAAATAAATTGCATGTCTGTCTTTCTAATATGTGAATGAAGTGGTTGAAAACAAGAAAATGTGAAGGTAGATTGAGTGTTTCATATTGTACAACTTTTATGAAAAATGTGCAATTATTGTATTGTATACGGTCATTTCAAATTTGTAAAACTTCATGGGTTTCATTATCTTTCATGTCTTTTCCATTTGTAGGTGGTACTTTTCAATATATAATTCCATGAATACCTTATATAAAAATTCCTGAATTCAGGCGGTTCTTATCAGTAGCACAGAAGGGTAAAGGTACCACTTACCGCATCCTAATGAATGGCCGGGAACATATTATAGATGGAAAAAATATATGGGTAAAAGTAGATGTGAGGTATACATCATTGAAATGGCAAGTAGACTGTCCCCCCTTTTTTCCCTCTTAAAATAAAAACCCCAAAAACATAAAAAAACTCAAAAATCAAACAACAACCAAAAAAAAAAAGATAAGATATCTAGATGGCAGCAAAAGTTTGTACCACAAGAAACTAATCCATTTATCAGGTAATTGTTTAACCATACCTTTTACCTTTGTCTGAAATTTGTATATGTCAGCTGCATATTAAATACCTGCTGTGCTGAGACTATTACGTTTCTTGTGAAAAGTATTATCATTTAAAACTTATTTTCAGATGTAAACAAATATCATCTTAATAATTATATTTGTAGGGACTTCATGGAGTCAGAAGGGAAATTGTTGAATATGGTAGAAAAAGTTGAGGAAGGAATGGTGTACTTAGCCCAATTTTCTCAAGATCAGCTTTATTATAGGGCAAAAATAACAGATGTTAATATGTCAGGTTTGTTGTAATAATTTTTTCACATATTCTTGATAAGCAATCTGTGGTCATTTTCAAATACATTCAAAAGGAGAGAATTTTCCTCTCTCTTATCATACCTGCCAACTTGCACTAATTTCGCTTGAACAACACAATTTTTACCGCTTTACCCAATTGCACGATTGTGATCATAAAAAGAAACAACCTAAAAAACTACACAAAAAATTTGTTAGTTTTTGATTTTGAACTTTTCCCAAGGAAGACAATTGTAATTAGCGATAATAAGCCTATCAAAATTATTATTTCCTGTGATCACTTTTTCATCTGACTAATAGAGGTCTAATTAACAAGCAAAGATGTGAAACTGTTTTGAACTTTTAGTGTCTTCACCTCTATGTATGTCACCATTGTAAACATTGTGATCAGTGATCTTCACTTTCAAGAATGCTCTTGCACCACCTAAAAAGAAAAGTTTGGATAAATTCAGATGTTGGTTGACAAATTCAATGATAGGGATATCACATAATTTCACATTCATGCCTTTTGCAAAGTCTGTAATAGAAAACTTTAAGTTGACATGTTGGCCTTAATGACTGTTCAAAGTATGCAAGGACTATTCAACTTGATCAGAAGTCATTCACAATTTGGAACACTATCTCGTGTAGTCTGTCAGTTACTTCTTTGAACGATCAGATGATAAGCAACTGGAGATGGTCAAGCAAGCATGTTCAGCTAATACAAAAGAACTGTTCAATAGACACTTGTATTGCTCTGAGTAAATTCAAATCAAGTTTGATACAGGATAAAGTGTGCTTACTAAATGATACAATTTCAGATACAGTGCTACCCTAAACATATTAAATAGTAGCTTATCCGGACATAACACTTATTGTAACTGATCCATACATTGTTAACAAATTAAAAGTATTGTCTTTTATTTTTCACAAGAAATTAGTCATGTTTGATAAATGTCCTTCTGAGTCCATATTTATAGATGGAAAAGGTCAACAGTCAGTAAATCCTACACAAGAAAACATATTGCTGGTATTTTAGCTACATGTACTAAATTTTTCTGGACAATAAGTACAAAAATCATGCAAAGGAAAAAAGGCTTAGTAGCCCATCATCAATATGTAATAAGAAAAAAGGACATATATGACACTACATATATTTCTAAAGGGAAAACAATGCAATCAAAAATGCATTGAAAATTGCAACCCTTAAGAATGTTTTTGCATACTAAAACTCCCATGGGGATTTTGAAAAGTTGACAGGTATGTACAGTTATCCTATAATATGATCAGTTAACATTTTTTACAAGTTTACACAACTGTTGATTATGCTTCATTTTAATAACAAAATTCTAGGAGAATAAGATAATATACATGAATGGATATGCTGTCTTTTATGAATTTCTTGTTCAAAGCATTGACTGCTCAGCGTCTTTTGGTGCAAAATATAAATGATGATATTAATAGATCCATTCATATCATTTACCTATTACATCTTATCCAATTTCAGATTGTTCTTCAACAGTTGTGGATGTTTATTACATTGATTATGGGAATGCTGAAAAGAGGGAATTATCTCATCTACGAGAGCTGCCTGTTCAATTTACATCTCTTCCTGCTCAGGCTGTATTTTGTGCATTGGCAAAGGTATAGGTTTCGCTATGCAGGTTCTAGCAGTTATATTATAGAGCATTTCTCTGGTCTTTTACCTGAAAAACTCATCTTTCCATTATTATATTCAGTTATATCTGTCCATTCGTCCTTCAGTTTGCACTTTTGTATTCGCTCCTGAATCTGAACCACTTGACAGAATTTTGGGAAACTTCCATAGAATCTTACTCGAATTATGTTCTTTTGGCACATTTTATTAGCTTAACTGAACCAAAAGGCCATGTGAGCTTTTGCCATCACTGTCCATCCGTCACAAATTGTTTCAGCTCTCTTTAATACCCTTTCGAGTTCAGGGATGAAACTTGGCATGATTATTCATCACTACTAGAAGGTGTAGTGTGTACATAGAAGAAAACTGCATGTTAACAAGAAAAAACATACACTGAAAGTAATGGTAAAAAAAAAGGTCTATTTAGCCAACCCTGTACTTTTAAACTAATTCCTTTCTCTAACTTTAAAACCACTTGGAGTTTAGGGATGAAACTTGGCATGATTATTCATTTCTAGTAGAGGGTGTAGTGTGTACATAGAAGAAAACTGCATGTTAATGATCATGGTAAAAGGTTAGTTGAACTTAGGGACCCTGTGCATATATATGTAGGACTCTAAAGTGCAATGGGGACTCTAAAACACGATGGTCTGTGCTATTTAATGGAACACACTAAAGTCTGATGCCTCAATACGCTAAAGTACATTTTTCCACTAAAGTGGGTTTGTTTGCGAAAGTATGGACGTTTACAACGTTAATAAAATAGCATTAAGACGCTACAAGCCGTTTGTACAAACAAAAATGGACATGCCGGTAAACGAGAATGTTTGTGCAGATGAAGGTTTTTTACTAGACACGAAAAGAGAAACAAGTGATTCCAATTTTGGTCGGTGCTAGAAGAGTTTTTAAGCAGAGGAGTTATTTCTCAAAAATCGTCGACAGTAACAGAAATGCAAACCTTTGATCCTGCTGTGTCGGCGGGGATAAACGTGTTTCTGACAGGATACTGGAAAAGAATACTTCTCATGAACTTAGAAATTGAAGATAGTAAGGGGAAGGTGTATACCATAAAAGAGAGCGAAAACAGCAAAATACACCAATAGTCAAAGTATTTAATTCGTCCAAATTTAATTTAGAAACTCCTTCCATGTTTTTAATCCCAAGTCATTTACTTGCTTGAAATAAAAGCTACTTTTTAACTTTCTAATTGAATTATTTTATAAAACAATTTTTTACAATATGGTTCGTCATTGTCTGTGAAAGAGATAGAAAACAATAAACAAAAAACAAATAAGAAGATGTGGTGTAATTGTTAACGAAACAACTACCCACCAAAGACCATATGCACTTAGCAACATTATGAACTTCAACGTGGAGCCTTGGCTTACGACGCAGAGTAGCTATATAGGATCACGAAATGACTAATGTAAAACAATTGAAAAGAGAAAGACAACAGCATGATTTATAAACAATACAATAGACGAAAAACTAATATGAACACAGCAAAAAACAAAAACCATTGCCTGAACCCCATTCTCTTTACACCATCGCACTTTTAAAAGCGTGTTAAACCAACGCACTTTAGCGTGTCATGTATACCATTGCACTTTAGCGTGTCATCTCATCGCACTTAAAAAAGACAAACAACCATCGCACTTTAGCGTCTGACACCATCGCACTTTAGCGTAGACCATTGCACTTTAGCGTGACCATCGCACTTTAGAGTCCTACATATATATATGTGTGTGTGTGGACAACTCTAATTGCATCACAATTCACTTATTTAGATGCTGAGGGCCCTCCATGGTGGTTCTCATCGCTATCTTCTAGTTGATTTTGGTTCTGTAACATGAGCCAGGTGTAGATGATTATCGTCAAAAAAGGTGATTTGAATGTACAAATTTCATTTTAGAAATAGGATAAAAGGGAATGGGGTTAGAGTCACTATAAAGATATATATTACGTTGGCTAATCATGGTTAAGAAAACATATTTTCTCAACATAGTTTTACGCTTTCACAGATAGTGAACATTGTGTAAATGATTTTTTTTTATTTTACAGATTGCTCCAAACAACAAATATGGTGTGTGGTCAGAACAAGATATTCTCACATTTTCACAATTAGCAAATTCCAAAAAGTTTTTCTGTACCTTAATCCAGCCAAGTCAGCATCCAGAAATTCCTAACATTGTAGATCTGTTCTTCAATTCTACCATCCCAGGTAACTGGACCCCAACTCCTGTATTTGTTCAAACAATATTGATAAATAGCAATATTGGAAGAATGGTAACAATTCAGGAACAGATGACATCCTTTATGATATTTTATAGACTCTCTCCCAAATCAAATCACTCTCCTCAGTCTTCAAACGAATTAAACCACCAATTTGGAGACTCGACAGGTATGAACATAAGAAAAATTGACATTGATAAACAAGAATCTCAGATTAAGAAACAAATCTCAATTGAAACAAATGACATATGTGTAGAAGATGAATCTCAGTCAAAAGGAACAGTAAATTGTAAGTTAGAAAACTGTGATAATATCTTACTAAATACAGGTCTGAATGATTCACAAGATTTTACAGGGCATGAACAGATTAATAGTGCATATTCAGGTGCAGAGTTTACAGATCAAATTAAGGCTGAAATTGAAGTAGAACAAACTGCATCAGTTACTGACAGAAATGTTAATTTGAAAAGTGATTCTGATAACCAGAAATTAGACACTGTAAAAAATAGTATAAGTGATAGCAAGGAATCCTGTAGAGTTGAAAAATTGAAACAAAATATATGTGAAAGCAAGGAATCTTCCAGAGATGTAGAAATGAAACAAGGTGCAGAAAATTGTGGAAGGGAAGAAAATATAACTGAAAATCAACCAGATATTTTAACAGTTTCCAATAGTATTAATTCTGATCAAATGAACAACAATGAAATAGATTGTGATGTGAGTGAGATGACTACATCTGATATACCATTACCTACAATAGATACATCATTAACCTGTTATATTGTGATGCTTTCTTTTGTCAAATCTCCATCACATTTCTTTGTTCATATTGTATCTGAAGTCACTGCAAACACTCTGAATGTCATGTCTAATAACATCAATACTCATCATAGTAAGTTGTCACGGAAACAGCTACAGAAACTGTCTAAAACTTTGACCCCAAATGTGAATGATGTATGTTGTGCACAATTTTTGGAAGACAATAAGTTTTACAGGGCCCAAATTTTGGAAATTATTCAGACACCTGCTTCACCACAGAAAGTATCTGAAAACGATTCAGAATCTTCAGTCTCTGGAAAGATCAAAGTGTTTTACATGGACTATGGAGATGTAGAATTAGTACCAAAGAGGAGGTTGTTTCCTCTACCCAAAGAATTACAGAACATTCCCTCCTTAGCTATTAAATGTTCTCTTGCTCATGTTATACCTGTAAAGAAAAGTAAGCATTGGTCAACTGATGCCAAAGGATGTTTCAATAAATTGACAGGAGAAGACAAAGTGTTAAAAATGATTATAGTAGATGGAAGTATGGAGGAGACATTGGGAAGGTAATGTACATTGTTGTGGTGGTTAATATTTCTTTTAATTGACTGTCCTGACATTGATTCTAATCATAATGTGAGTCGGCTGGTATCTTAATGTCTAATTGTTCATTAAGGTAATATCCAATTTCAATTATAAAAAGTAAAATAACAAAAGTACCGAACTCCAAGGAAAATTCAAAACAGAAAGCCCCTTATCAAGTGGCAAAATCAAAAGCTCAAACACATCAAACGAATGGAAAACAACTGTCAAATTCCTGACTTGGTACAGCCATTTCCTTATGTGGAAAATGGTGGATTAAACCTGGTTTTATAGCTAGCTAAACCTCTCACTTGTATGACAGTAGCATAAAATTCCATTATATTGACAACAATTTGTGCACAAACAAACAGATATAATAGGTAAAAATGTCAAACATAGGGGTACAGCAGTCAACATTATGATATAATCTCTATGACTATAAAACAAACAAATATGTCAACAAAGAAAAACAAAGTGGCATATAGACAAAGCACATAAGCAAAAATTAAAGACAAATATACAAAAATGACCATAGCACAATAACATAATAAAAGGGATGTATAAGTACTGAGCTACGCCAAAAGGATATAATCAAAAATGGACTAAACAGTAAAGGTTAATAATTTACGAAGACAAATAAAAGAACACTATAACACGTAATTGAGATGATAAACAACGTCAGTACCTAGAATCTATACTTCAAGACCATAATGTATTATTTGTGAAGTTGTTAGGGAATATTTATCAACAAGTTCTTGGTATCTTCCGTGGAACTTTTTATGCCCCCGCTGTAGCGGAGGGGGCATTAAGTTTTACCCTTGTCCGTCTGTACATCCGTCAGTATGTCTCAAAATTGGTTTCTGTTCTCTAACTTTAGTTTGCCTCAACCAAATGTTATGAAACTTATACACATTGCTTATTACCACAAAACACAGATCAAGTTTTAATTTTAGTGGCGTCACTTTTACCGTTCTAGGGGGCCTCGGTGACGGAGTGGTCTAAGTAGTTACTACTGTAATCACAAGCCAGTCAACACTGAGGTTGTGAGTTCGAACCCCGCTCCTGTGGGTGCACTCGACTCCAATCTTAATTGACCAGAATTGTCAGTTTTCCTAGTGAAAGTCTGTAGTTTCCTCCAGGCACTCCGGCTTCCTCCACCAATAAAAACTGACCGCCACCAAATAGCCCAAAAGAGGTGCTTAAAAGTGGCGTTAAAACACCAAAAATCAAATCAAATTTACCGTTCTAGAGTTATGCCCCTTTACAAATGGAAAAATTGCTGAATTTTTCGTTTCCATTCTCTAACTTTAGTTTGCCTCAACCTAATGTAATGAAACTAATACACAATGCTTATTACCACAAAACACAGATCAAGTGTGAATTTTAGTGGTGTCACTTTTACCGTTCTAGAGTTATGCCCCTTTACAAATGGAAAAATTGCTAAATTTTTCGATTCTGTTCTCTAACTTTAGTTTGCCTCATCCAAATGTTATGAAACTTATGCACAATGATAATTTCCACAAAACACAGATCAAGTTTGAATTTTAGTGGCGTCACTTTTACTGTTCTTGAGGTTTCCCTTTACAAATGAAAAAATTGCTGAATTTTTCGTTTCTGTTCTCTAACTTAAGTTTGCCTCAACTAAATGTTATGAAACTTATAAACAATGCTTATTGCCACAAAAATCAGATCAAGTACAAATTTGGGTAGTGTCACTTTTACAGTTCTTGAGTTATTTAGAAAAAGGACGAGACTTTCTTTGACATAAACCTGGTTCATCAACTTTCTGCTCAGACACTGAAAAGCTTTTAAAGATTACCTGATGAGCAGTTGTCTTTTACATGTTTTAGAAAGATATTTGGGAGTAGTGTATATGAGCATACTCACTAAGGTTCTCCAAGTTACTTTTGTTTGTTTGTGATATTAAGTGAAGGCAATATCACTTTTGTGTCCATGTTCCTGTTGACTAATCAACTTGGCTATCATTCTAAATAAAGATCATAGGGTGTTAGACAGTGAACGAAAAAGGAAAAAATTGGTGAAAAGAAATGAAATTGAAGAATTCTGATCAATTTTCAACTCTAAAAACATGTTTTTTGTTATATTTTCCAAGAAGACGAAATAAATTTTAAAGGGCAATAACTGCTCTTGTACATTTTAAAAAAAATTAATGGATGTTAAACAATGTCAATTTTCGTGAAACTTTGAATAAAAAGCAGGTGTCTACCTAACTCTTCAAATTTTGTAGCTAACCTTTTTTTTAAGCCCTGTCTAGGATAGAAATGGGTGCATGAATTATGTTTTTCAGTTTGCATGTCTGTCTGCCGGTATGAATTTTACTATAAAATTGTCAAATCAACTTGAAACTTGTAACACATGTTCATTATGATGTTAACCTTTTTAAAATGTATTTCAAATTATTTGACCCAAATCGGTGGTTCATTACACATGGAAATGTGAGAGTGAGCTCGAGGTGTGCTGTTTTCAGTATCAACAATAATTATTGTTGATTAGGTCACACAGGCAAAACATATATCTGTGTTAGCTGTTTTGTTTTTATGGACCCGCAACAAAGTGGTAGGGGCCATATAGTGTTACCCTTATCCATCATTTCGTCATTCTGTAACAAATAGTTATACAGACTTTTTCCAAAACACCTTCACATATTTAGATGATTTTTAGTATGTGAGTCTACTATAATGAGTTACAGATCTCTAAGTTTACGTTTGGTTCTGCTCTTCTGATTTGTGCTGAAACTACAGGCCTTGGAATGAAAAATTTCGTGAAAATATCTATTATACAGACTTTCATTCTCAAATTTCCATTTCTAAAAATGGCTTCAAGTTATTTTGCAGGCTGGGCCATCTTCTGACACATCTAGTTTTTTATATATATCCCAAAGGGATCAACCTATTTAGCATTTTGATTTTTTTTTTTTTTCACAAATTATTTGTTGTTGAAATTGCATTTACATTGTTTCCTTACTCCTTTAGCAGTTTTCAGACCAAATTCATTTTACTTTATAAGCAATTTATACATACACTAAATATGCCAAAGGTTTTTATAATATCAGATGTGTTTGTTTGTTTGTTTGTTTTTTTATTTATTTTTTCCATAAAATGACTGGCTGTAAAGCTATAAAAATTGGCACATAAATTATAAATAATAATTTAAGAAAGTGATAAAAGGCATCAAATATGGTTTACATACACAGCAAATGTACCAAAAAAATCATTTGTTAATCATTGAGTTTCATTTATGCAATGAAGCCAGTTGATTGGTATGGTTTCATGGAGGTTGTAATTTTTGGTAGGTAGTCAAGTAATGAACAGACCCTAGTTTCTTAGATTAGATTTTAGCCATTAAAGCAACATGTAAAAGTTTGTTCAAAGTGTAGTTTCTGTCTCAAACTATTGATTTTGATATTGATTGATTGATTGGTGGTGGTGGTCAGTTTTTATTGGTGGAGGCAGCTGGAATGCCTGGAGAGAACCTACGACATTCGGTAGGAAAACTGAAATCCTATCAGTTAAAATTGGAGTCAAGAGCACCTGCCACATGCGGGATTCGAACTCACAACCTCAGTGTTGACAGGCTAGTGATACAATAGTTTGACTACTTAGATCGAGGCCCCAATTTTGATAAACATTTTCAATGTGTTATTGATAATTATAATTATACAAATGTTTATTGTTTCTTTCAGTGTAAAAGTAGATCCATTGAAGGTAATACTGGTAGATAATGATGACAAAGAAGAAATCTGCATCAATGTTGACCTTATAAAACAAGGTTATGCTGAGCTTGATATTCAAGAAGATCTTAAAGCAGGTAACTCCATTGGATACCAAATAGTCAGCTATGAAAGGTCCAGGATGACAAAATGTTGAACAATTCAAAGGAGAAAACCCATGATATGATGCTTATCTGACATTTGTCATATGCCTTGACATTGCATTTCTGCTATTTATAAGACAACAATATTTGGTATGCAGATTTGTTGTGAGATTAATTGATTTATGTTCTAATTGTTAGAATTGAATTTGTATATGAGGTCTCTACCTCAGAAATTATATGTAATAGGTTGAAAATCTGTTTTTGTGAGAATATGCAAGTGTGCATCTGCATTTGCTTTGACTTTGACCATAGTTTAAGAGTTCAATGCCCTTCCAAATATTTCAGATATTGCAGCAGGTGAGACATCTTAGTGTGTCAGCTCTTGTTTTAATCAGTTGTTGAATATCTTACAGAAATTGGTGCATTAGATAAGTTTGGTTCATGGAATCCCATGATGGACGACTTTCTCTCAGCCAGAAACTCATACAAAGTAGATGTAGATGATGCTGGGGTGGCTACTGTTGGCTATAGTAAGTATTGGTGTGACCAAAACCATAAAGTAAATGTAGAATTAGATATTGATTGAGATATATAAAATGGGTGAGCTATTTACAAATGGGTGATTTTCCTGCAGGTTCTGATACTTAAATATTGTTAGACATGTAATCACATGCACCAATAAGGTAGATTTTCTTAGATCTATTTGATCTAATTTTAAAGATAAAAACACGTAAATTAAATGTAAAAAATCATTTACTCATAATCTGTATAACACTTTTTTGCATGCCGAATCAATTAATGAAATTGGCCTTCCTGTTGCTGCCTTTCAGCTGACATTCGTTTCAATCACTGACATGCTGAGCACATGCACACATCTCAAACAAAGATTGCTTGAAAACATATTCAAATGAGGTTATTTACTTACAGAACATTAATACATCAGCAATGATTTTGAGCTTATTTTGACAAATTGAACCAAACTGACAGCTTTATAGCAAAATATTATTTCAATATTTAGCTTTTAAAATGTTTGAAGCAAGAAAAAAACAAAACTTATATTTTAATTCTTGTCTAAATTATAGTTTATAAATATTATAAATCTAAGAAATTAAGTTAATAAAATCAAACTAGAAATTGTGAAAATTGAAAAATATGTACAGTTGTTGATTTTCATTATTTTTCCCAGGAGAGCTATTGTTCAAAATAGAAATGTTTGTCAATGTTTTATTGTTGAAATGTTACTTTCTTCTAGTCTTCATATTTCTTCCATGACCGAATATTCTCTTGTTATGGAAGGATGATGCTGGTATCACCAAATAATTCGCTGAACACCTGACAGTTTTGTATCCTCTGAAATACTCCACAAAATTTTAACCAAATTTGGATCACAAGAGCGAGTAATGCAAACTACTTGATTGAACCTCAAGTTTAATGGTGGTTTCAGACGAATAATATTATAAACCAATGAAAAGTATATGTTTCAATAGATAAGACTTGAGTGTTGATGATCAACAAAACCCATAAATATTGACGATCAACAAAACCCATAAATATTGACACCCCTTTGATAACAGTTGTAGTAAAACCACAAGAACAAGCTCTTTAGTTGGTAACATAATCTGGCTTATCAATGCTACTTAAAGGTTTAAAGATTTGGAATTTCGATAACAGTTTATATGGAAATTGATTAAACTTCACATTTTCTTGAGAAAAATCTTGTACTTGAATGAGATGAAGCCTTCTCAGTAGCATGTAAATATTATTTCTTTTCACTTGCATGACTAAACTCATTACAACACTAACAGAATTAATTAGTTTCTAAGAAGATTCTTTTCTCTGTACATAATCATTTTATCATGTAAGTTGCAAGTGTTTTATAGTAATTTTTCTTGAGGTGACCTTACTGACACAACATTATATAATTAATATTTGATCTCTGTAAAGAAGATTGAGTTTTAATCAGATGAAATAGGATTGGTGATTCTACAGTCACATTTTCAAGGCATATATATTGCATTTCAGTAAAACTATATAAACAAGGAAAAAAGGGACCCCATTATCATTTTACAATCACACTTGCTGTTAGTTGTAAAGTTGGAGGTAAAAGAAAAGGAAGTCTCGTCACATATTGATAATATTAATAATGAAACTTCAAATTGTGGACAATTGAGTTAGACTGAAAAGAATATTAAGGATGTTTTATTTATCTTAATGGTGGGAATTTTTGTGAAAGGTTCAAAAGTATTATCACAAATATGTTTCTACAAACAGCTGCAAACACTACTATGAGTTTGTCTGGCAGTTTGCCTAAGGATGCAATGATTCCGACAATCATCACCACATTAATAAATTGTGTAGGAGCACTAGCTTTATTATGTAATTTGTTAGGATTGTCAATTACAAAGTTTGTCTCTGGAAAGAGTAGTCCTATATTGATACTGATGAGGAACCTGCTGGTTGTTGATATGATAATGACAATTTACGGAATATTTAAATCATTTATTCTGCAGAGGAAAGATAATTTGTATATAAACTGTTTCCTGCCAGAAAGTCTGTTCATTGCTGCTTCATTAGGATCGTTTTTCTTCCTACTGTGGATGAATGCAGACCTATGTTGTCGACTGACTAAATCATGGACAAATGGAAGAAAAATCCATAAAGCAAATGTTAATACAGCCATCATGTTATTTTGGAACTTTTCTTTAGTTTTAGGTTTTCTGCCGATAATTGGTTGGAATGATTCCAAAGAAGTGGACAAGTGTAACCCTTTATCTTTTTACAATGATATATATTTGTCTGTAATAGCCTCGTTCTGGATGCTAGGAATCATCATTTCATTGATAAGCATGTTTATTTCTTACAAATGTATGAGTCATTTTGACAATAGTGAGAAATTCCTTCACAAGAGTATTCTTACTGTGTCTCGGCAAAAGAGAATGATTGTTTGTGTCCAGTTTGAATTAGGAACTTTATGTTTATGCTTTACTTCAGAAATCATCGTTGTTCATGTTATAGGTAATTTTACAAGAAATGGAAATACTGAATGGATAAACAAAATTGACTCGGTGCTGTTGTTTTGTGCAATTGCTTTTCAGTCGAGGTCTTTGCTTAATGCCATTTCACATTTTGTAATACTGTCACAAATGAAATACAAACCTAACGTCAGAAGAGAATGGACAAAACAAAAACTGGCCTTGAAGAAAACTTTCTCCATAGATTCAGCTGCTAGTAGTATCAGACAATTTAAAAACAGTCTTAGAAAGAGTCCAAGGATTTATGCAATTTATAACGAGGAAAACTTTGAGGAAGGGCCCTATATCAGGAAACAAGAACAGGATCACCGAAGTAGCATTACACCTTCTCATATAAGTTTTGATGAATTTTATACTAGTATGACAAATCTTCAAGGAAGTGTAACTTCATTATAGAAAGTAAAATGATTTTAAATTACTATTTGTATTGAAGTTAATCATTCAATTGTGTTTGGTGTAGTATGATTGGTATAAATTATGGGGCCAAAGGTCAAGGTCACAGCAGTTATCAATAGTCTGAAATTTGGCAAAATTTTGGTTTCGGAAACAAGTACCTTCTTGCAGCACAGTTGCTCGCTGGGAATCATTCTACCCAAGGACTATTAGAGACTGGAATACCCTACCCACTAATACTGCCATGGCTAAGAGTCTTGAATCATTCAAGACTCAGTTATCTGATTAATATTAATCAGTTTGTTTTTTCTTGCACATTTCAATCTGTACAGCACCGTTTGCTTGTTTTGAAATATTTTAGAAATTCCTTTGTAAATAAGCGTATGCGCACAGGGTAGCTTGACCAAAAGTGGCAGAATAATCATAAATGTTGCGGCCACCAAAAGGCAGAAGCAGAAGCAGAAACATGTATTATCTTTTTATAAAGCTTTTTCTTATAATACCCCACTCTTATATTGCATTCACCATGTTTACCTTATCCTTATGTCTGTTAGTTCAACAAATATTTCTGTCACAGTTTTCTCAGCTACCACTTAACAGAATGATTTCAAATTTGGTCTGACTTAACAGTGACCAGTTGTCATATGTGAGCATTTTTCAGATCTGTCAGACACCTACTTCCTCTTTGCCTATACCTTGAATTTTTATATGCCCATCTAAGACAGGAATGTATTATCAGTGATTATTGTGTACCTAAGTAGTCTGTCCAATTAAATTTTGGTTGCAATTTTCTCAGGAACTACAAATATGAGCTTCCTGAAATGTGGTAAAAGCTTCATTTTATCATTCTACACGTATACTGTATGATTAGATAGAAGATAAAAGGATATGGAGTAAATGTACATGGGACAAAATCACACACAATACATAGAAAACAGAGAAAATTATCAATGAACAGGGCTTTTATTCCTGTTCTTCATCTTGACAGTTGATGTAGGGTCTTCAACAATGAACGAATCATTCATACCCTACAACAAGGTCAAGATGGCCCCTAGCGTCGACTTAAGCGGTATTATTGATAAAAGTACACCACAGTTCACCTTCTTGCTCCCCACCTGCCTTGGAGTGCCAACTTGTGCAATGCTTGTGTAGGACAGTTCTCCAGTCGAAAGCACCAGGGATACAAGAAAAGTGCAGTAATTTTGAAAGACATCGATCGCCGCTAAGTAAATATGCTTTGAAGTTACACATGTCGGGAGTGGTCAGTGAATATATAATGCATGTTCAGATTCATCTCTCATTCATTTCTAGTTTACCGAATGCTTATATATTCACACAAATACACATAATGGTCATATATAAAATTTCATGTCATTTTTCTCAGCGCTTTTCAAATCAAGGCTTTAAGAAATTTTTAATTAGTCCCCTACCGACGAAGAATTTGAAGGCGACTTTAGGTTTGCACTCTCTGCACGTTTGCACATCCATCTGTCTGTCTCTCTGTCCGTCTGTCTGTCTGTCTGTCCATCTGTCAGTCTGGCAAATCAGTTTTCCAGACTTTTTTTCTTCGTGCTTGAAGATATTGATTTGATATTTGGTTTATTGATTTATCATGACAAGTTGCAGGTCAAGAACAATTTTCACGATTTTAGCTTTTCTCTTTGTTCAATTAAAGCCCTTTCCCTAGAATTAAATTTGATGAAATACTTATTAATTAGTAGATTTCAGTTCAAAGGGAAATAACTCATTTTTTAAAAGACAAAATGACATTTTGGATTTTTTTCCTTTTCTTTGGTAAATTGTTTGAAGAATTTAGTGGTAGGTTTGTTTGTCATTCTTGAAGATATTGATTTGATAATTAGTATATAGTTTTATCATGACAAGTTACAGATCAAGTTGGAATTTTGTTCCAGTCTGAAAATTTTGTGCAGTTATGGTCTTTGGACATAGAAAATTCACTTAAATAATCAGTTTTCAACAGTTTTTTTCGTCATGCTTGAAGATTTTGACTTGATAGTTTTATGTAGCTTGCCATGCTTTTTAAATAATTTCAATTTAACTGTTGAGAGTGGAGACATATCGTAATACACGAGTTATAGTGGTGG